TAGCGTCCCTTGCAGCAATAAAACTTTTGTCGCGTGTATCAAGAAGGACAAACGCAAACATCCCGTCCAACATGTCAATAAATTCCTCTCCATGTTCTTCGTACTGCAAATCATAAAATGCAACAACATGGATGCTCAGTTACATTTCACTAAGTGCCAAAATTGAGACTTTATGCAAAATGTTCAAAAGATGGTAAGTCAGAAGCAACTATTCAGCCCCTTCCCAATTACGCATACTTACAAGATGTGCAATCACTTCACAGTCACTTCCAGTGCGGAATTGATGAGACTTGAGATTTTCACGCAAATCCTTGTGGTTGTATATCTCTCCATTGACCTGAGATCATAGCACGTTTGATTTACCGTTCAGAAGATACTATTGACGAGCAAGCAAAAAAGGTCTAAAATTCGACATTTGTTCAAACATGACACAAGAGAAAGTACCGTGACAGCGACGGTCTTGTCTTCGTTATAAAGCGGTTGGTCTCCAGAAGTTGGGTCAATGATGGCTAAACGTTCATGAGCAAGATAACAGTTTTCATAACAATGGAGTCCACTCCAATCAGGACCTCTATGCCTCAATCTGCACAACCAAAAAGTAACCGATCTAAACATAAATGGACCTACTCACTCAATTCGGGTCTATATATGTTTTTCATCTTCTCCACAAAGATCAAATCTTTTTGCAAACAATGATATCTCAATTGGATAATTAAACGAACACATTTCTCATAAAAAGTTTGTAACTTTTTTTTTTGGATAAATCATAAAACTTTTTACAGTAAACATTTCGGCGCGTTGCTTCACTGATTATCAGACAATGAGACAGAACAAGTTAATGATTGATTCAATAAAAGGGAAGATTGAGGAAACCTGCGAGAGAGTTCGATGATACGAGAACGTTTAGCTTGAGAGTTGTCGATGCAACCAAGGACAGCGAGAATCCCACACATTGTGGTGGCAGCAAACAATGGCTTCTCTGATGAAATGGATTGAAGAAGAAAGTGTGTGAATTTATAGAGTGGCTTTCAATCACAGCCGTTGATTTTGACAATCCAAGCTTCTGATTTTACTTTTAACCCTAATCTTTTTAAATTGTTGTGTTGGACTCATTTTGTGATTGGTATTTGGTAGAGATTCTACATCCAGTGGATCGTTGTCACAAGGTCCATTGGTTTTTGTTGTCGATTACTTGGAATATGCAACGTTTGGCCTTTCACATTTCGAAATCACGGATTCAAAGAATGCAATGCAACTAATGCAACAATGGCTCAACATTCGTTCGTAAGGCGTTTTTGCAAATCAATTTGAAATCGGATTATTATCTGTTAACTTGAAGGAATTCTATATAGGACAAAATTCATACTAATCCTCTAGTCGAAATAATATAGTCCACGTTTTCTTTGAAGAAAGGAACAATGGTTATGATTATCTACATGTGCACTGAGAAATTTTCATCTTTTTATAAATTTGCTTTTGCTCTCACATAATGATTTATAGTAAAAAGGTTTTATAAGCTATAAATTTGATATATCAGAAGAAAGAAAAAGATTATCATAGTGTTTTCCTTTACACTATGATAATTTTATATGAATGTGACTGTGTTTTAAGAAGTGTATGTGAATGTGACTGATAAAAGTTGGAGATTTTCTAACTATTTATGACAAAATTAAGTGGTTGATTTTTTTTCTAGTTTTGGCAAAGTTTGATTGATAATTTAGTTTTGCAATGTAATATTCCCGTGATATGTTGCATAGCTTATCGAACAAATACGACGCCGTTCCTGCGGTTCTTCAGTTGAGAAGAAGAAGACGTATAAAGTAGAAGAAAAGAGAAAAAGCGTTCTTCGACTTGTCGTTTCTACAAAGCCACAAACCCAATTCTCGACCAAAGCGAAGGCGATCTTCTGGATTCACGGTGGCCGGCGAGTCATGGCGACGACTAACGGAGTAAAGAGTCCGTCGAGGATGGGTCCTATGGTTTTGTTTTATTCCATATTGCTTACGCTTCAGTACGGAGCCCAGCCTCTGATCTCCAAACGCTGTATCGGGTACGATGTCTAGAGACAACCCAATGCCTCTAAATTTCTGATTTTGGTGGTTTTCGCGTTCATGGTCGCTAATTTCGTGCGTTTATATCTGGAAATGCGAGATTCGGTTTGAATTAAACGTTTTATGCAGAGATGGAGTTCGATTTCTGGGCATCTATTTGTAGGCTTTCATTGATTCAATCTTCGAATTTTGGTTCAAAAAAGTGAAGGAGACTTAAAATTCGAAGTTATATCAAACTAAATGCGACGATTATGATTCATTCTCGTTGTTACAGTTAGAAATGACGATGATCACTGCAAAAACTAAGCCGTTTCTCACCATATTAAGTGAATGTGAACTCACTAGTTTGCTACAGTGGTGCCTTTTCCTATCGAATTAGCTATTCATCATAGTGTTTTGGTTGTGTATGTTAATTTCTCAGGGTACGATGTAATATTTGCGTAGACTAGTACTTGATTTTAAAAGATTTCGACGTGCTTGCTCAATGTGATAACGAGGATGTAGCTATATTAGCAGCGAAATTCCATGGATAGTTAGATGCTAGTTGGCTTCTTCACTAGTTTATTTGTTTGTTTCTTTTGATATAGCTATCGTGGTTTGGATATGTTTTGCAGGAAGGAGGTTATTGTAACTTCATCTGTTTTGACGTGCGAGATTGTCAAGGTAGTGGATCGATGTTTTGATTTCTAGTTCGAAATCTCACAGTTACGAAATACTGTTTGTGAAAATTCAGTGTCCTTTATTTTCAGGTAGTATGTGCTCTGATTCTCATGGCAAGAGATGGTAGCTTGAAGGGATTATCAAAAGAGTGGACTTTGATGGGATCCTTGACTGCATCAGGACTTCCTGCAGCCATCTATGCTCTTCAGAACAGTTTGCTGCAGATCTCGTACAGGAGTCTTGATTCCTTGACTTTTTCAATATTGAATCAGACGAAAATCTTTTTCACCGCATTCTTTACATTCATAATACTAAGGTACTCTTCTTTTTGTTGTTCTTAGGATCTTGTTTGTGTGATCGACCGCTCAAAGTTTTGTTTTTGTGGGACTTCGTATTGTCATGAGCTAGGGATTTGTAGTGCATCGCCTGAATAAATTTATTTAGCTGTTTTACCACTGTGAATTCACCCCTACGACAGTCTCTGAATGGTTTGTTAGTTAAGTCAGCTGTTTGATCTGATCGGGTTTGTCTGTTCCGGTTTTTTTTCCTTTCAGAATATCAAAAACACACCTGACAATGTTTTTCTAGGAGATTGTGGCAAATTGATAGTAGCTCGTTGATATTCAGACATGGTGATTGTTATTTCTAAAAAGTGTTGTAATACATCATCTCAAATTACAACTTGTAGGCAGAAGCAATCAGTTCAACAAATAGGAGCTTTGTGTTTATTGATCATGGCAGCAGTCCTCCTAAGTGTTGGTGAAGGCTCTAACAAGAGTTCAAGTGGCATTAGTCCGGATCAAGTGCTGTTTTATGGAATTATCCCGGTCTTGGCAGCCTCTGTACTCTCCGGTTTAGCCTCTTCTCTATGTCAATGGGCTTCTCAGGTCATCCAGAGTTTAAATGCTATATTCCAAGAAAACAAAAACCTGTAGTTCAATTCATTCATAGCCTTACTGACTCACCTTTACAGGTCAAGAAGCATTCATCGTACTTAATGACAGTCGAAATGTCTATTGTTGGAAGCCTCTGCTTGTTAGTCAGTACCCTCAAATCTCCAGATGGTGAAGCGATAAAGAGATATGGTTTCTTTCATGGTTGGACTGCTTTAACACTGGTAATAACTATCTCTAACTTCATATCTCTTTTTTCCGTAAACTGTTGTTTCTGATTCTGTTGATAGAAAACTATTGTTTCTGAATGTGTGTATGCACTGTGACTGTTCTTGCAGGTCCCAGTAATAAGCAATGCCCTTGGTGGAATTCTCGTTGGCCTAGTTACATCACATGCCGGTGGCGTAAGAAAGGTAAAACAACAAACCACCTACACACTGTCAAAGATTCTTCAACAAAAGCTGAAATTTATTGTATTTTGTTTTGGTTGTGTTGTTTCCAGGGATTTGTGATTGTATCGGCATTACTTGTGACCGCGCTACTTCAGTTTGCGTTTGAAGGAAAACCGCCTTCCTCGTATTGCCTGGTGGCACTTCCTCTTGTGATCAGTAGTATCTCGCTGTACCAGAAATATCCATACCTGGACAAGAAGAAGAAGAAGGTCTAATAACTTTTCTATCTTCTCCATTCACAATCACAGGGTAGGTTCAACTATGAAAATATCTTCTCAATGCCATTTATTATTAACTAGATGATAGCGATTCTTGGATTAATCAAAAAAATTTGTACTAGTACATTGATAATTAATACGTGTGGAATGAGTCCTGTAATGATCTAAATCCGAGTTTTGAGTTTTATCATCTTAGTTCTTTGAAAATCGTTTCTCACGTATTGTGATTGTGTAAAGCCCACACTTATGGACTGTCCCTGAGTTCGGCCCAAAGTTTACGCAAGTTAACAAAATCCCATTATCAAACTGTTGAAACATGTTCTCTATTAACACCGTTAAAATATGACCACATGACAACGATAACTCATTCTTTGATAACACTTCTCTTGCAACACCACGAAGGAAAATTGCTTAGAGGCACAAAGTCACACTTCCACTCGATTACCAAAACCAACATAATATTAAAAAAAGGAAAACAAAAAGAGAATTTTGACTCATTAGAAATACTTGTCAAAATGTAGATAATTACAAGAATCGGGTATCACACTTTTTTCCTAATTAACTTTCAATAATGAACATTTTCTTAATAAGGCAAAAAAAAGATATAGTTTGAAAAAGAGTAATTGGCGGTATTTGGTCGTACCCACATATAAACTCGATTTGACAAGAAGAACAATTTCACGGAGAACAAAAAAAAAAAAAAATCATTCAAAGGCAAAAGAAAAAATGGCGAGGATGCCACATTTAGCCAATTACAAGCTTGTATTCCTCGGCGATCAAGCCTGTCGGTAAAACCAGCATCATCACTTGTTTCATGTTCGATAAATTCGACTCCACTTATCAGGTTCGAACATTTCCATCGCGATCTATACTACATTGTTTATTTTGCTGTTCCATCGAACACAGATTTCAAATTTAATCAATACATATCGATTTTTTTGTTGGATTATCTAGAGGACTTTTTTTTTGTGTCTCGTTTTTGTGATGATCGTCTAGAAATTGTGCATTCTTGATGCGAGTTCCTGACGATTGCAGTTTAAGAAGCTGTGCAGATTTGATTATTTGTAGAAGTAGTCTCTCTCCTTTGTCCACGCTTTTCTTCGATTTTTGGTTTTTTTTTTCTCCTAGTTTTTTGAGCATTCTCTTGCATACGAAGAACTGATGACTGTGTAGTATCTTTCATTTTTACCGGTTGAAAAAATTGCAGGCTACAATAGGAATTGATTTTTTGGCCAAAACAATGCGGCATGAAGATAGGATTTTTCGTCTGCAATTGTGGTAAAATCATTTTTTTTTATTTTTGTTGTCTTCTCTTCTTCTAAATGCATTTCCTTGCCACAATACTGTTGCTATCTGTTGTGGAAAGTCCCTTATCGATGTTTTAGCTCTGCGTTATCTATAATGGCTCTGCGTTGTATGCCCCGACATTGTGAATTGTGTAATTGATGCGCAGGGATACTGCTGGACAAGAGAGATTTAAAAGCCTGATACCTAGTTATATCAGAGATTCTTCTGTTGCTGTAATTGTCTATGATGTTGTAGCAAGTAAGACCAAGTTTTTATCATTTCAAAACCGGTCTTGCTTTATCATTTTTCTTCAGCACTTAATTGTTCTCGCAATGAGGGCTGTGTAAAGATTTCACCTTTTTCTTTCTTCTAATTCTGAGTGTGCAGATAAGCAATCGTTTATTAACACCTCCAAGTGGATTGAAGATGTTCGTGCAGAAAGAGGCAGTCATGTCATCATTGTTCTTGTTGGGAACAAGACCGATCTTGTTCATAGAAGGTAAACAAAAATCAAAGTCAGACCAATGTAGATAGATCCTCAAGTTAGATTAATAGACCAGAGAACAAAGATAGATTCCATGGATAGCTCCATTTTTTTGGGTTCTCTTTAACTAAACGTTCTCGCTCCAAACTCAAATGAGGTTGTTCTGGTGACTGTGATTGATTCTACAGGCAAGTTTCAAATTTTCAATAGAGGAAGGGGATAACAAAGCTCGTGAGGTTGGAGCTTTATTCATAGAGACTAGTGCAAAAGTTGGATTCAACATTAAGGTAAACAAACAAAATACACACGTCAATTGAGACACTTAGCTCGTGATGTGTTCTCTAAATAAACTTGACTAGTTGTTGTTTTTGACTGCAGCCTTTGTTCTGTAAGATTACATCGGCGTTACAGGGAATTGAGACACATACTTGGACGAAACAAGAGGATTTGGTGGATGTGAACCTAAAGCCATTAACCAATTCATCTCAGGCAGAGCAACAACAGGGGAATTGTTCTTGTTGATGATATATCATTATTATACAGAGTTAGGAAGAGCAAGAAAATTAGTCATATGTTTTGATAAACTATTGTTACAAGAAATGAGCTTTCTGAGAGAGAATTTCTGTAATTTGCTACATTATTATGATATATATTAAAAAATTCCAATTCCATAAGACAATGAATTATGACGTGTCAATAATATTCCATCGTCACCAGAAAAAAGAAGAGAAAAGGCACCAAGTCACACTTTCACCAAAACCTACCTAATATTCTCTCCGGCGAGAACGATGTTAGTGAGTACTCAAAAGCCTGAGAAAGAGCAGCAAGTACTTTTATAAACAAGTATCATCATTATTCCTCGAACCTTATTACCATCTCTCTTCGTCCTTTAGATCCACCAACTATTGATTCAATCTGATTTTTGTTCTTGGGTCTTCTGAAAGTTTCCGGTTTTCTTAATTTGTCGACTTCTCCAATCGAAATGCGTGGTCTTGATCGATGGATTGCTGACGCAGTCAGATCAGAACCATTGGATCAGAATGGTCAAACCCTCGGTCGATTGTCTCTCGACGAATCTCTCCCTTCCTCGTCTGTCTCTTTTGTTCCCTCTAAGAATTGTTCAATCAATTCGTGTCGCTTTCTCCAAAAGTCGAGTATTTTGAAGTTTAGGAGACGAAATGGGACCAAGGGACCTCTGTTTTTGTCAGTCAGTTTATCCATCAAGGAGAGTAATGGTGAGGAAGAAGAAGGGTTTAATGGTCGAAACAGCTATGGATCTATACGGGTGAAAGATTCGGTGTTGATCGGTGGTGATCAAGTAGCGGCAGAAGAGATCAGGGTCAAGGAAAATGGATCAGGAGCTCTCAACACCACTAAGCATTTATGGGCTGGAGCTTTTGCAGCCATGGTTTCAAGGTCTCTCCTTTTTCTTTGCTTTTTTTTTCCTCTATGAAACTCATGAGGTTCACTAGTTAGTCTAAAGCTGTTGACTTTGACGTGTTGTGGTCACTACTTAGTGATATCCTTGTATGAGATTTTGCATTGACTTGGTTGTTGAAGTTTGGTGGCTCATTGGGTTTTAGGATTTTGGTTTGAGCAGAACTTGCATTGCACCTCTTGAGCGGATGAAGCTAGAATACATAGTCCGTGGAGAGCAACGGAATCTTCTTGGACTCATTCAGAGGATTGCAACAACTGAAGGGATTAGAGGATTTTGGAAAGGGAATTTGGTTAATATCCTTCGAACAGCTCCTTTTAAGTCCATCAACTTCTATGCATATGATACATATAGAGGCCAGCTTCTGAAGTTGTCCGGAAACGAAGAAACAACTAATTTTGAGAGGTTTCTCGCTGGTGCAGCTGCCGGAGTAACAGCTAGCTTGCTTTGTCTACCGCTTGACACTGTAAGTAGATTCACAACAACTTCTTCCTTGAGCTTTCACATTTCTTGAACTGTGCTTTTCTATTGAAGTTGTTTCATAAACTTTGTTACTTTGGAATCGAATCGCAGGTAAGAACGGTTATGGTGGCACCTGGTGGAGAGGCATTAGGTGGTGTAGTTGGTGCATTCCGTCACATGATTCAAACCGAAGGTTTCTTTTCGTTATACAAAGGTCTTGTACCTTCACTTGTTAGTATGGCTCCAGCGGGAGCTGTGTTCTACGGTGTCTATGACATTTTAAAATCAACTTACCTTCATACACCGGAAGGTAAGGAACGGCTTCAACACATGAAACAAGAAGGTGAAGAGCTAAATGCTTTTGATAAACTCGAGCTTGGCCCCATGAGGACTTTGTTATATGGAGCAATCGCAGGGGCTTGCTCAGAAGCAGCAACTTATCCGTTTGAAGTTGTGAGAAGGCATTTACAGATGCAGTCACATGCGAAAAAGTTAAGCACAGTGGCTACTTGTGTCAAGATAATTGAACACGGAGGTGTTCCTGCTCTATATGCTGGCTTGATTCCCAGCTTATTGCAGGTTTGATTTCATCAACCGTCTTAGTCATAAACTAATCTCTTGAGAACTTTCTTACAGCTTTGTTAATTCTCTGATAATTGCAGGTTTTGCCTTCGGCTGCTATTAGTTACTTTGTGTACGAGTTCATGAAAGTTGTCATGAAGGTAGAATCAGCGCAATAGTCTTCTGAGGAGAGAATTTTTTTTTCCTTTTTTGGGGGGTTTTTACTCTCAAGCTTTTCTCCGCCTTTGACAAAACGATATAGTTTGTGAAACAGCTGAGTGCAAGAATAATAATAAGATTTGGAGATTCCAATTTTCTTACTGTGTTCTTACATATAAAGATTGATCGTGTCAAAATATTTTAATCAAAACATACATATTCACTGTCCATTTCACCAACATCACAGAATGTTTGGGAAAATGCCGTCAAGACAGGGATAACCAATGAAAATAAATTCTGTTTCTCGAAGGTAAGTCTTCATTACTAGAATCACATTTGCCTTTGAGACAAGAAGCGAAGAACACACCATACGAGTGTCTTTGAGCTCTCTTTACTGTTGCCATCCATATTGTTGGTTTCTAGCACCACCCATTGGGTTCTGACCTCTTCCAGAGCCACCAGAGCCACCGTACTGACCACCGCCTTGTGAGTAGTTAGGCGGTCCAACACCATAGCCCCCGCCAGGTCCTCTAGGACCGCCGCCATATGGTGCACCTCGACCTTGTGGAGGATATGATCCGCTGCTGTAACCTCCTCGGCTCTGATTATTATAACCACCGGTCTGGTTTCCGCTGGGAGGGTACCGGTTTGGACCAGGTGCACCACCACGGGGCTTTTGATAGTAGTGGTGGCCGCTAGGTCCACCAGCGGGTAGTTGTGGTGGTGGTGCGTTAATAGGGTGGTTTGGTCCGGCAGGCCAATGTGGAGCGGCATGAGACTGACCAACACCGTGTTGCTGTGGAGGCAAACGAGAGTGTTGCTGCTGTGGATGCTGCAGTTTCTGTTTTTTAGCAGCTTCCTCATTATGACGCATTTGTTGCCGTTTTTTCTTTGTCTGGAACTCATGTGATGATTCATATGTGGGTAGACTGTTTGAGAGACATGAAACATTGTCTGGTTATATGAACCAAATGAGTTTTCATAAACAATAACTAGAAACTTAGAGAATTCGTTTACCTCTTTGGATCACACGGCAACGGATCAGTCCAAAAGTACTCTGCATCAAGAGCATCCTTTGCGGATATTCTCTGCACCAACAAAAATGGAAAATAGAAGGACTTGAATATCAAGAACAAAGGCTCTTCATTTCTGCAATTGCTAATATATCAGCATAGTTTGGTACCTGAGACGGGTCAAGCACCAACATTTTTTCCAGTAGTTCAAGGGCATGGCGATCAAAGCTATAGTAGAAAAGAAAAAAAATCCAATATGATAGCTCTTCTGGATATCAAAGTAAAGTCTTGCAACTACAAAATGGTTAATACTTACTGTCGGTAGATCTCCCTTACTCGTCGCTTCAAGGGACGAGATGATTTCATTTGGTTATACCAAGGCATCTTCGAAACCCCAGGCCAGTTGTTTTCATCAGGTGATCCACAAAGTTCATAAATTTTATTCAATTGTTCATTCTGGAGAAACAAATATTTGAGAAAAATGCAGTCAGTGGAAACAACATCAAAGTTTACTGCACTAACGCATACCAGAAATATTCGAAAGATGAAACCCTGACCTCAGTTTTCCCAGGCAAGATTGGTTTACCATTCAGAAGTTCAGCAAATATACAACCAACTGACCACATGTCAATGGCTGGTCCATATTTGGTGGCACCAAGTAGCAATTCAGGGGGCCTACCGCAATAACCAATACGTTAAGCAGAGACGACGATTCAGGAGTAAGCAAGACTTATTCTGTCTTTTAGAAATTTGACTTCAAAGTTTGTAGGTGTACATACCTATACCACAATGTGATGACACGGTTAGTAAGGTTTCCAGTATGATCATGAGAAAATGATCGTGCAAGCCCAAAATCCGCAAGCTTTAAATTTCCCTCGTTGTCAATAAGGAGATTTGAACCTGCACCAAGATATTCTACGTTAATAGGATATAAAGGCGAGAGAACAAAACAGTCAACTATGTATGTTTGGATAGTCACCTTTTATATCACGATGAAGCACTTGATTCACGTGGCAATAGTGAAGCCCGGTGAGGAGTTGCTTCATGTAACACTTTTTTACATATGTTGAAATGTCAGACAAAGTCGGAACAATTAGGATTTTGCAAAGGCTACTACAGCAAGGTATCTAGCCATGCAATACCTTGATCTGAGGAACAGTAAATCTCAGTCCAGGACGATCAGCAAGTCCAGTCAAGTCATGATCCATGTATTCAAAGACCATGTAGATTCCACCCTTGTATTTGTTATTATCTAAAATTGGAGCAAAGTCACAAGCTTTAGGCAAGAGTAAAGAATTTTAATAGATCCATCCTAGTCGTATCTAAGGTCTCCAGAAATATTAGATGTTGAATCAGGTTTACTAACCTGGCTTTCCTTGATCGTCCCTATCTCGACCTTTGAAAGACAAAAAAAGCCACATAACTCTAAATATCAAACTTCAAGCCTCTTAAACGGAACTTCTAAAGTAATTCCAGGATGAGAAAGGTGTTGCTTATTACCTGGGGAAGTCACAATCTCTTTCAAATGGATGACATTTTCATGATGAAGTTTCTTCAGAATTTTTATCTCCCGGATTGCTGTTATCGGAAACTTGAAGCAAACAAGGATAAAGGGATTTATAAGTCATGTTGGATTCTCAAAGTTTGCAACTTTTCTAAGCTAGTAGTCAAATGCAGCTTACCCCTTCTCTTTCATTGTCCATACGGATCTTTTTCAGTGCCACGATTTCACCAGTTTTGATTTCTTTAGCCATGTAAACTTGACTGAAAAATCAAAGCCATACATATGAATCTAAAAGCTACTATCTTTTCAGAAAAAAATTTCACTTTATTTGTAATCAGAAGAACAAGGAAAAGATATATAGACAGAGCTAGCTTGAAAGATACATTTTTATACCATATCAAGCATACGATAATGCAAATCAGATCTCTACAAGTTCTGAGAGCCAAGTCTTGGTAAATCTAAGAATCCCAATTCACTCAACCAACAAAACAGTATACTAATCGAATTTTACAATCAAAATCGATTCAAACACCAATATAAGTCACGGCGCACGAAGACTCCAAAAACCAAATCAAAGAAGAAAAACCAGAGAAAAGAGACAGCAATTGAGAAGTAGAAGAAGAAGAATACCCGTAAGTTCCTTCGCCAATCTGTTCTAGCTTCTCGAAGCAATCGACACTACGAGATCCCCAAATCGGTGGAGGCTCCTCGAGATTCAACTGCCCAAAAGCCGCAGCCGCCATCCTTCTTTCCCCTACAGAAATTCACGATTTTCCGACGAATTTCTCAGATAATTTAGCTTCGCATTTGGCCCTCTCTCCGGCTTTTCCTAAGGTTTTAGCCCTTTCGGTGTCGGCTTCGCGGAAAAACCTAAGCTTTTTTATCCGGGTTGGTTACAAACCGGTTATTGCAGTGAACCAAACACAAACCGGTTCTTGCAGTGAACCAAACACAAACCGGTAAAAATCATTACTCGGGTTGAATAATCTGGTTTATGGTTCGGTTTAGTTTCGTTTTTCGACCCTACTTTTTATTGAACTTTTTACTCGGGTTGAATAATCTGGTTTATGGTTCGCTTTAGTTTAGTTTCGTTTTACTTGAGAGAAACAAAATATGACTGAAATAGAGAGCTACATATTACTGAAGGAACAAGTAGTAAATTTTTACGAAAGATTTTCCTAATTTCTACGTCTCTATACACATTAACATGTGGCTTAACACAACCACTCTGTTGATAAAAATTATAGAGTCTCCTCTCCATTTCTTATGATCCAATACCCAAAAAAAAAAAAAAATCAAACTTTCAGAAGAGAGAGTCTGGCCGTTGACGAGTTTATCATCTCTTGCCTCTCAATAAGATGTCTTTTCTTTTGTAGACCTAAGAAAATGGTTACCACTCCTGTGAAAATCTTTATGGGAGAATTTGTTTTGCTTCTAAGCACAAAAGCGTTTATGGAGACTGGAGTAGCTTTACTACATACATCTGTACAGATTAAAACGGAAAAAAGTTGAGAATTTGAGTCTAATCGTGTAACCTAAGAGCTGGAGAGATCATGACATACCAAGCAAGTTTATTAAGCTGTTCCAGTGATTAGTTTTTCTCGTTGATCGAATTTCTTGACCTTTATAACTCCGATTAGAACTTGGAGGCTGAAGAAAGCACACACCGTATATGCTATAGTAGCTGGTGTCTGAGAAAATAACAGAAACAATAACGTTCTTGAATTTGAGCAGACAACGAAGTTACCGGTCAAGGGGGAAAAAAAAAAAAAAAAAAAAAAAGAGGTTAAGGTTGATTAGTAACAACTTACTTTTAAAGAATTCAGATACAAAATCGTTGCAAGATTGACTAAACTTCCTGCAGCAACAGCCTGTTGGGAGACACATTGGGTTAACGAAAAGAGGAAAAGAAACCAACTTTAGCACATAAACAGAACAAATTATATCCTTTTCCAACTTTCAAACAAAGATTTTTGTTTTTGATTTTTTTCACGTATGATTCACTTTCCACTATTTCTTTTAAAAGAATGAACCGATGAAGATTGTGATGTAAAAGATGTAATAAAAAAAGACAGAAAAAGGGAAAGTTTTACTTACACTTCCTACTGTTTTTTGAACAGCTGCTACGCGTTGAAACGCCCTCTCAGACTCTAAAGCTCGGACTCTAAGCTTCAAATCACCTTGCTCCTGCGGGAAAAAAGTATAGAAAAACTCATTAGAACGTGAAAAAAAAAATCATGTAGCTTGGGAGTTGGTGGTAAATGGATCTTTTAGTGTCTTACAAGTCGTTGGATGATGACAGCTAGCTTTTCAACTCTATCAGCTTGTCTAAATAGATTGTAGAATGCTTGTGATTGCCTGTCCCATCTCTTTCTCAGGTCCTACAGTAGTTCATTTGGTCGAATATATATGTAAAGGTATGTGATAAGAACATACATGGAATAAAGATAAGCCTTGCTATTACCTTCACTACAACTTCTACACCAGCTTCCCGGAACCGTAGCAATTCCAAAGCATATCTGGAGACAAAAGTACTTAGAATACTCTTCTGATTAACAAGAAGATATAACATAGTGTGAGAAGACTCACGGTTTTGCAATCTCCGTTATATCAAAACGGGGGTCAAGACCTTTGCCGATGCCATCCAATACTGCAGAGAGATAGTTACCATTAACTTGAGTTTGAACACAAAATGAAAATAAAAAGAATGGTCAAAAAACGAGTTCAAATGACATTACAAACCTGAAAAGGCTCTAACAACAAATGTGAATGTGGCTGGGAACCGGAAAGGTTGATCAGCTGCAATGGCTAATAAGTCTTCTCCGATGGCAGCCAAACGTTGCTTCTTTTTCTCTTGCTTTTCCTCCTTGCTCAGTGGCTTCTTAAACCCAAGCTCTTCTGCTGCTGCTATTTCTTCTTTCTCCTTTCTTTGTGCAGCAAGACGCTCTTCGAAACTGTAACACAATCAGCAAATAGGTATCGTATCAGAGGATACTACTGACATCTATTATACGACACCACTCCCACACATAAGAAACAAAGATACAATAGTAGGCTAGATAGACTAAATTACCTGTTGAGAAAAAACAGTGCTGTTCTTCTGACTGACGTCAAATCTCCAGTTGGTACAAGCACACCCATTTGAACCATAGCTTGAATGACCTGCCACAAGATGTATGACCTCAGGTCCTACAAAGCAGCATAGATGTAGAAGATTGAAAGTGAGAACACGGTAGAAAGTATTATACCTTATCTGGGTCCTTTTCGTAGACGCCGTAAAATGCCTCCAATAAACCTTCTCTAATATTTGGGCTGATACTGCAACAAACAATGAAAAACGATTGGATAGAATCATTAGTCCAAATAATTATAACTGTGGAGATCATATTTATCACTGAGCCGGTTTTGCGCTTGTCATAGCATAAAAATGAAGTACCTTCCCATCATTCCAAAGTCGTAAAAGATTAGCCGTCCGCCATTGACATCATCAACCGCAATATTCCCAGGGTGCTGCAGAAAGATACACAAGCAAATTAGAGTGTTGTCTTTTTGACACTAAGGGAAAAGACAGTGAAAGAAGAGACTTACGGGGTCGGCATGGAAGAATCCATGAGACAAGATCTGCTCCAGGTAAGATTCAACAGCATATCTCCCTAGCCTGCATTGTACCAAATTATATAAATCAACAACAAAAAAGCTATTTTGGGTTCAAAGATAATATTTAAGTCTCGTGAACAAGATGTAAGAAAATACAAACCTTTTTCGATCAACACCTAACTGATCTAAGGCTTGGATCTTGTTAATCTTAATCCCAGGGACATACTCCATTGTCAGGACCTGCAAAGAACATAATGTTTGACTATTGTATTTGAGCTTAAGGCTTTGTATACGATGGACTGATGAATCATGGATACCTGAGGTGTGGTGTATTCCCAGTAGATGGATGGAACTTTTACATACTCTAAGTTTTTGAAGTTATTAGCAAATAGTTCCGAGTTAGCTGCTTCCTTTGTGTAATCAATTTCCTGAAAATATATAGCAGATTGTTATAACTTGTTAGAGATTACTTTAATAGAGGAAAATAAAAGAAGATTCAACTGAGCTTCCATGCAGCAAAAAAAATGCAACGCAGTACCTGGTACAATACACTGGCACATTCATCATAGATTGCAACCCAATCTCTCTTCGCACCATCTGATTTTGGATCCACCTTCTGGAGATACTCAGCGATCACCTACATAAAAGCATAACAATGCCAATAATTTAGCAGAAGAAAATCACGAGACAAGGCCACGCTTGCAATATCGAGTGTGGTTAGACACTAACCCTCAAGTTTTTAAGATCGATATCGAAGAGATCCTTGAGACCAGGTCTCTGTACTTTAATGACAATTTCTTGACCCTTTAATCTTGCACGGTGAACTTGGCCTGTGCACATTGACGACACGAAACAGTTATGACTATTATCATCAATTTCTTGCAATATGATTATAAGAAGATTACCACAAAGACATTACCAAGACTAGCTGCAGCAATAGGTTCATAATCAAAACGGTCGAATATATCATCAACAGATCCTCCAAGCTCCTCTTCAACAATCGATAGAGCTGTAGCAGAAGAGAAAGGAGGAACTTGATCCTGCAAACATGAGATAAAAACTTAAACAATGCAACACAGAAGAGGAGCCATTCAAATGGAGATGGATTAAGAAGAAATCAAACCTGAAGTTCTGACAATTGATCGACATACTCTTGAGGAAGAATATCCACTCTGGTAGAAAACTGTTGCCCAATTTTAATAAAAGTAGGACCTAGTCTCAATATGTTTTCCTTCAACCACTTAGCCAAAATCTTCCTTCTTAAAACCTTTTTCTCCTCAGTCATTCCCCCTAATACACAATTGTAGGCAATACTTGAGAATTAATGTTGTTTAACATAAACAAATGCTAATGATATATAAGCAAAAATGATAACAACCTTTGTATGAAAATTTCTGATTGCTTAACCATGTCCTGAAAATAAACGTCAAAACAAATCCCCAAATCTCCAATGTCCTCTGTATCGTAGAATAAGTCTTGAATCTACTCCATCGACCACCAGGTGCAACAGAAACCTGGAAAACATTAGCAAAATTTATCATTTAAGAAGAAAAAAAAGGATTTTGATTAATAAAAAAAACTACTTTAATGGTTACCTCAACTTGTTGTTTTTGTTGAGTGTTTTTAAACCAAGCATCTTCTTGACCAATATCTTCTACTCTCTTTTGCCTCACTTCCTCTTTTCTCTTCTTTGAGACTTCCTCCGTTTCCACCGTTACGCTTCCGTTCACATACTTCACTAAGCTACCGTTACCGCTACCGTTTACACGGGCACTTCCGTTATAATCTCCGTTGACGGGTTTTCTCGCAGCTCCGTTACCGTTTAAACGAACACTTCCGTTTCCGTTAACTTGTCTGATCACTGCATTTTCTCGATCTTCCACTGCGACATTATCGTCTTTGGAAGCTCTGATTCGAAGCGGGAGATTGTGATTGTATCTCAAGCGATTCCTGGGCAGAAAAATTCCGGGGATTGAAATGGAACGAGTGATTGTAGATTGTCTGGAATGGAAATTGATGTTCGGTAAGAGGAGAGACGACGATGAGGAGGAAGAAGAAGAAGTCGCCATTGATTGTAGTCGCGCGGAAGAGATCTCTAATCAAAGCCTACAACTTTTTCATGGATTATTTGCGTGGAAGGTAAGAAGAGATTTGAAGAAGAAGACTTTGTTTGTTGGCACTTTGCATAGAGGTTTAGAGGCTCTGGAGGAACCCAGCAGAGAGGAATGGGAAAATTTTAAATGGGCAAAATTGATAAATAAAAAGGGGTGGATATGAAAAGGACACGTGGCATCAGATTAGATGAGTGAAGCAGATGTTCTAGTGTTTTGATTGGTTGTTTAGTACACATCATCGTATTATCACAGCCACAAAGTGGCGTTTTCTTTTTCACATTGTGAACTTTGTTTGTGTAATATTTTATTTTATTTGGAATTTAACGATTTTTGTAACCCGGGTTGATCAAGCAGTGTTCAGTCAGAGTCAAATCGACCCCGTAATAACGCAGATTTACCAATCCGTATCAGCCGGAAAAGAACCGAAGTTGAAAACTTTGGAGAAATAATTTAAAGCAAACAAACTATATAATAAATCATATTAATTAAATTATGAATTTTTTTGTAGAAATAGATAGATCACGTCAGTGTTACAAAATTATAACCGAATACTTTTAACCTGGTTTAATTGATATATAAAATTAATATTTTAAAAAAAAAATCTATAACTAGCAGTAAAAATATCTCAGAATACATTGAATTTGCGGGGGGAAAAAAATACATTGAACTTTATATTTTCCTAAACCAATATAACCACTAACTGGGTTAGTCGTTTTTCTATAATAAGCTACTTACACGTTTGAGAAAGGAAAAAAAATTACTTACACCATATAAAAATTCGAAAAGTGGATTCCCAAAAAGGAAAAGTGCGAAATTCGAAACTTTTTTCACTCACGAAGCGGCGGAAATCTCTCAAGTTAAATACTTTCTCCAAGTTCTAAATTGACCCCGTATGTTCTGTCTTTAGGCTATGGACGCCCTTCTCCTCCCTCCTTCGCCGGAACCCGAAAATCCAATCCCCGATCCGGCGAATAAAAGGGCAAATTATCAATCGGATCACCTCCGCGGAGAACACAATGACGAGACGATGAAGAAGAAGATGAAATCATCGACTATAGAAAAGAGAAAGCTCAAGGGAAAGATGAAAGAGATTATGAACAACGACGAAGCTTCTTCCTCTTGTTCTTCGTCTTCTACCTCTAACCTCAATTCAACTAGAAGGGTTTCGCGCGTGGTTCATAGATTGCGGAATCCTGCGGTTCGGTTAGGTATGGCTCGACGAAGCGTTGGGGAACGACAAGCCGAAGCCTTGGCGCTTCCTCTGGGCATGTCATTTGCTGCTTTTGCCAATCTGGTTCGATTTCCAAACTTTTATCTCTCTCTATTCTCCTTTATACTACATGGCTCTGTTTATGTCCTTCTGATACGAAATTGGCCTTTGGTTTATCGTTTCCTGTTATGGGCAGTTTCACTTTTGTTCTTATAGTTGACCTCGCTTGAAATTGAGGTTATCTGTGGTAAAAGCTCGCATCTTTTAGGGAAGTAGTGCTACGAGTATTTGACCTGAAGTCTTTTAATTTAGGTTTCCTTAATTCAAATCTGGACTGAGGAAAAGATATTTTCTTCAAATCTGAAACAGAGACGAAGGATTGAATCTGAATTTCTTCTTTAAGGATCTATAGCGAATTAGCAATACTTGAATCGAAGAGAGTATCTTCTCTTCAAATGTTTATCAGAGTCAATAAATAGAGTCTATATAAGTGAGCGAGCATCAATAAAGCAATACTTGAATTTACTCTGGCACAGTTGAATTGTCTAGTCTCTCACTTTTCTTAAAGCTTGAGCCTTTCTTTACGAATTTGTAGCTCTGATCGTGATTCCACCAAATTTCAACCTGATTTATTGCTGATTAGCTACTTAGCGACCAAAGTCATTGACTTGCATTGCTCTGTATTTTTTACTGTTTTTTGTTTGTTTTCTCGTTCTCTAGGTTCTTGAGAGAAAGAGTGCCGCAGGTCAGAATGTATATGTTGACGATCTTGCAATGGTAAGTACTTCAGGATTTTCTATTGATTTCTTCTCGGTTTTTGTTTGATCTCTCAAGATTTTCCTTTTGGTAATAATAACACAAATTTCAATGGTTATGCTATACAGATTTCTGCTTCCGCTGTCAAAGAATCTCTAGCCAATGTAAGCCAAAAGTCCCTTGATTTTTTCCGCATTCTGTTTAGTCTTTCTTTGATTATAATTATGTGATTTACAGGTGTATGGTAATAAGCTGGGTTCCTTTGCGTCAAACTTTGAGAAATCATTTAACAGTACTCTAAGGATCCTAAAATTGATCAATGAATCTGCATATCCGCATCAGTTAGACAAGAATAATGTTGAGAGTTATAACTTAGACCGTTGTACAATAGACGGATGCTCGGACAGCGAGCTATCTGCAAAGGAGACTTTATCTGCTATGTCTGCTGATGAAGCGATTCAAGGCAGTGCAAGAACAATCTCTTCGATGAATGAGATTGTCCTGCACGGAGAGACTCGGCAACTCTCTGGTGTCTCGAGAAGCTCAGCGATGCCATTGGCCACAATCGAAAGGTGGTCTTTAGAAGAGCAAGCACGAGGACACGACCTAAAGAGCATGGAGATGGACCTAAAGAAAATGGAGATTGGTCTTAGAATGAGGAAAGTAAAGCTGAAAGAGACGGAGCTAGCACTGAGATACGAATCAAACAATCTAGGGAAATCGAAACTAGAGATGGGTGTCTCGAAAGCTGCATTTAGAGCCGAGAAATTCAAAACCGAGTTAGAAGATACAAGAAAAGCAGAGATGGTGACAAGAATCATGGACTGGCTCGGTCTGAGTGTCTTCATCATGTTGTCTTCTATGTTATACGGCACTTGGGTCTTCTCACAGCAGAGAATCATGGAAGCAACCTCATTATGCAACCCATCCGAAGAGAAAAGCTCTTCTTGGTGGGTTCCGAAACAAGTTTCATCGTTTAACACAGATCTGAACATCTTCATTTGCCGGGCTCGAGTTTGGGTTCAGATATTTTTCGGCGCCGTGATGATCTTCGTCTTCACATACTTCATAATCCAACGGTCGTCAGGTGCAAAGCAGACAATGCCGGTAACTTTCATCGTTCTTTTCCTTGGGATTGTTTGCGGTTTACCTGGTAAGTTGTGCGTGGACACATTGGGGGGCAACGGTAAACTATGGCTGTTTCTTTGGGAAATGTTTTGCCTTTTGCAGTTCGTTGCAAATGTCTTCACTTTGGCTTTGTATCGTTTTATTTATGGTCCAATGACTCTGACTCAAGGGACCAATACGGGCCGTTGTAACACTAAGTTTCCGTATTGGGCAAGACGTGTCGTATTGGTGGTGATTCTGTTGCTACTTCCAGTGATCAACGGTCTTTTACCATTTGCGACAGTTGGTGAGTGGAGAGACCATTTCATGTATAAGTATCTTGGTGTGTCAGCCTCTGATGTTTGAGTCGATTCCCTTTTTGTAATATTATTGTAACGATTTGGATTTTTGATATATAAAAACATTTCATCATGAATTATATTAGAATGTTCAAATTCAGTTATTGGCTATAAAAAGAAGTTGGTCCCATTTTTAACATGTAACAACTCAGTTTTGATCTCGAAACAAGTTTAAGTGGATTGAACAGTTTGACTGAATTGGTAAGTACATAACAAATGAGATACTGTATACTAAAAAGGATTATTATTATTATAATATTGTGGGTGGGCGGTGGGGGGGTAATGAGTGCGATACGATATGTCTTTGAGTTAGATTATTCGTAGACCTTTTTCTTTCTGTTTCGGTTTTCTCTCTATCCACTGATCGGCTTATCGGATCCGAATCCGGACCCGAAAGCCCGACGGAAGAACGATGTCGGAGTCTCCGTCGGATGATGCAGCGTCGCACTGGTGCTACCACTGCAACAAGCGCGTCGCCGTTGAAACCCAAGACGACTTGGCCGTATGCTGCGAATGTAACAAAGGTTTCGTGGAGTCAATCCAGCCGATTCCCGCCGCTTATTCTTCTTCGGCGGCGCCACTTTCCCCAGATCTGACTGTCGAAGACTCAAGTATTGGCTCGCATTTCCTCCAGATGCTCCGCTTGTTAGCCCACGCGCCTTCGCAGCGGCCACCACCTCAACTTGATGTATTGTCTTACGATGACGATTTCTTCCGATTGGAGCTCAATAGTGGAAACGAAGAAATCGAAGACGAAGACGACGATGATGAAGATGAAGATGATGACGAGGAGAGGGAAGAGAATTTAACCGTCTACGACGAGGAAGATGAGGAAGAAGATCTGAGGCAGAGAAATCGCGGGGGGATATTCTCTCTCTCACCAACACGATCAAGAACCGGACGAAACCGAATTCTCGACTGGGCTGAGATTCTGATGGGAATCGAAGACAATTCCATCGAGTTCCATATGGAATCGGACCGATACACAGGAAATCCGGGTGATTACATCGACGATGCAGCAGGGTACGAAGCTTTGCTTCAGAATTTAGCGGAAGGAGACGGTACTGGCGGTGGAGGAAGGAGAGGAGCACCACCGGCTGCAAAATCGGCGATTGAGGCGTTGGAGACTTTCGAGGTTGGTTCTTCTGAGGTGGAGGGAGAGGGAGAGGGAGAGACGGCGACGATTGTTGTTTGTGCTGTGTGTAAAGATGCAATGGTGATGGGTGAGATCGTGAAGAAGCTTCCCTGTGGACATCGTTACCACGGGAACTGTATTGTGCCATGGTTGGGAACAAGGAACTCTTGTCCTGTTTGTAGATTCCAGCTTCAGACTGATGATGCTGAGTATGAGGAAGAGAGGAAGAAACGAACTGATACTACTACCTTGCCCGATTCTGCTGCCTCTTCTTCCGCTTCTCGTCTCTAGTAGTGTGGACAAGGTCTCTCTATTTATCCCTTTTGGTTCTTACTTTTTCTCTTTAGGTGAAAACAAAAAAAAACATTGCTAGTCTCAACACAGAGAAACCAAAAGACTCCTGCTCCAAAACAAAAAAAACATTGTATCCAAAGTATGTTGTTGTATTTCTTGGTCTACATCCCCCAAGTGGTTTCTCTGATTTTCTTCAGTGGTTTGTTTAAAAAGTTTGCCGAAAAGAAAAACGTTTTTATCTTTCCTGGGACTTTAAGAAGCGATCATGCGACTTCGTGAGCCTTTCCGAAGTACTTGTTTATAAACGAGGACTGCACAACGCCAACAAAGATATCAGATTCAGAGCTTTTGTAGGAAACGAAATGGGAAAGCAAATAGGAGAAAGGCAAGAGACTGTTTGTATGGGTTTGTACCTTCTCGATTCCTGATAGGTCGGGTGTGTCTGGTGTAGACAGTGGATAAAACTTGTACAACTTCATCTCTTTGTAGGCTTCCTTTGTTTCTTCGCTCATTCCTTCCATTGCTTTCTCTCGAGCTTGTTTCGCCTGCCAATTGTAGAATTATATATATGCGTTTTTGCATTATTTATTTTACAGTTGCGTGACTAGTATCCATATGAAAACATCATACCTCTTCGTTAGTCTTCTTTGCATTGTCACATTGCTCTTTGACAAACTCCTGAAGAAGGAAACATAATTAAGGGTGCGTGAAACAGGGAAAACCCTTAACCAAATGCTTTCTTGAATTAATCATCCCAACTCTTGCTTTCCCTACCGTGAACTCATCCTTTTTGTCCAGGGGTAATGCCTCGTCCACGATGAGATCATTGGTGAAATCCTGAAATTGACCAAGATTAGAAGTAATTCAAGTATTTAACCTCTAATTGGTGAAGCCAGGTACTGTACCTCAAGGTTCTTTTTTTCCCAGTCATATTCAAGTTCAACCTGCACAATGCAGAAGAAAATTGAGTTTGATTCAAATTAAAAATACAGATTGTATCTTCGAAACAATTGACACTCGTAACACAAATTACATATAGCTTACCGGTGGTTCAGAAGGGAACGTTATTTGAACTACAGTGCTCTGCTCAGATTCATCTTCCTTAAATGGGTTGTAGATATCTGCAAACAAATAACAAGAGTAAAAAACCCATATAACAAGGGTGTAGATAACAAAACATTTCAAGCACATGAAGACATGTTACTGAAGATATCATATGCATCGAAATGTAGCTAGACTTGAAAGCAGGAAATTATGAAGCTCACAAGGAAGGCAACGCTTGAAATTTTTAACACGATCTTCCTTCAAATGTTTGAGAGCAGACCTGCAAAAGTTATACAAACCTAAACTGAATACATAGAATCTGCATTCCTAAGTTGCTGAATGTGAATGGACAAATGTGAAGAATGCAAATCGATGCATCACACTTTCATATAAAGCTGTGTGTAGCCATGCTTTCAAAAGCATATGCAACATAACTCAAAATCCTTTCCTCTACAAAGCAAATGAGCAAATAAAGTCTTCTGATTTTTATGGTAGCTACTAGCTAGACACTGAGAGAAAACAACACCACATGTTATTTACCTTCTCTGCGTACAACCCAAGATAAAAATTTGGAAGTTCATCCTATCCACTTCTCTATCCCTGTAGAAGAACAAAAGCAGAGTTTATTAGCAGCTTCCCAATAAACGTTAAAGGTAAGAATGGCACAAAAACTTATTATCTGTGTCTAGGGACCTTTTTTCAAGCGGGACGTAAGGAACCCAGGCCATTTTCATATCTTTCATGGGAATTATTTTCTCCACCTCGCTTTCACCCGATGTAATCCCTATCTTATCAGAAGGGGGAATTGATGATTCAATCTGTGAATAGATAAGGAAAAAGTTGACCATCAGGTATAGATAAACAATATGATCTTTTCAAGGAACTTAATCCAACAAATGAAAATGCTAAGCTTCTATTTCAAGAATCAGTGATATTATTGAAAATAGGAAACAAAAGCGTACGCAAATGACTGCAGGAACAAGGACAGTCTTGTTTTCATTTTTGTAAGGGACTAAATGAGCTGCAATGACAAGATAGAGGAAATCAAAAGGGGAAGAAATGTCAGCTAAATCTAATAATATACAGAAACAAGGCAGTACAAGTATTGTAAGAAGGAAAAAGAAAAATCTTACACTCTGTAGAGCCAAAAACATAGACTTTCTTCCCATAGAGATTTCCACTTTCCTCCAGAGCTTTCTGCCATACAAAGCAAGGAAAACTGCTTGTGAGTTTTGTCACACTAAGAAATACTTTTGGAACACTCAATGAGCGATATATTCTTGAAGATCGGTGATGGAACTTACTTCAAGATTTGTGAAATCCCATTTGGATTCATAAAGCTTATCCAGTTGAGCCCACTGTTTTGACAATTTACAAAAAATAATCCACAAAAACAAAAGATTAGTTTTGTAGAGAATATACCAAAAGCCAGTGTTGAAGCCAAATTCTTGAAAGTTAATACCTCAGTTCCCACTGGGAATGCAGCCTTCCACAAATCCTCCTGAATAAACACATGAAAACCATTTGCTTACAAAGGCAACAGAAATGTGGAAAACACTAAACAAAACATACGAAACTGGTCGTCCATAAACTCAAAATGAGAGAATCTGCAAACAAGCAAGCTAAAACGTATCTGCAAAATAACAACATGCCACAATATTCCCGAAAAGAAAACAGATACAACACCATTAACTTATAATACTGACTATACTTGCAACCTAGATCTCTCAACTACACAAAACGTCACCAACGAAAAGAAAGATATACAAGCGTATCTCATTGCGATTTAGATATCATACTAGCGTCAACATAGAACACAATCCCTAAAAATGCATAGATCCAGTATCAAACCATAGACGTATTTCCTTGACGAGCGGGAAATCTAGCCAGAAGATGAGTAAAAACAGCATACCAGACTACGCTTCTCCTTGAAGTACTCAGGCTCAGGTTCTTGCGGCTTGGTCGCTCTGGCTCGCTTAGCTCTCGGAGGCGGATTGGTTTCCCCTTTCTTCTCGGTTTCATTCTTTGTGGATCTCTTACGCTTACCACGACGAAGCGGCTTCTCATTTTGCGAAGAAGATGCACCTTTCGCCTCGTCATTTTGGCTCGCGTTTGGATCTTTCTCCTGTTGCGTCGAGGAATCAGGTTTCGCTAGTTCTTCTTCCTTCTCTTGATTTTCGTTCGCCTCTTCTTCGTTCCCAGCTTCCTCAGCAAGCGGAGATTCGACCTTAGGCGCTTCGTCATTTTGGCTCGCGTTTGGATCTTTCTCTTGTTCCGTCGAGGAATCAGGATTCGCTTGTTCTTCTTCCTTGTCCTGATTTTTGTTCGCCTCTTCTTCGTTCCCGGCTTCCTTGAGAGGCGGAGATTCGACCTTAGGCGCTTCCTCAACCTCCTGATTGGACTGAGTCTCTACTATCGCGTCATCGTTCTTACCCGCCGACGAAGTAGAAGCAGCTTTGCGACCTGCTTTGGAACCTCCCTTTTTCTTCGCTCCCTTCCTCATTTCCAGAGTATAGTAGCTAAACCACCAAAAAAAAAATTAAATGACACAACAAATATAGCAACGCGAAGAGACGAATGAGAGAGAATCTTCGAGAGAGAGAGAGAGAGAGAGAGTGTACATAGAAAGAGCAAGCTAGGGTTTAATGGCAGTTGGATCGGGAAACTTCGAAATCAGAGAAGAAGACGAAGAGTTTTGGACTGTACCTCTTTTACGAGTCGTCCTTTTTGGCGTGATTTTAAGGCGGTCAGATTCAGAAAAGGAAATAGGGCTGGTTTGTTTTTTTTCTACTTTCCCCCAAATGCAAACTTTCCCAAGAATAAGCGCGGGCTCGTACGGAATGGTATAACCGTAATTATTTGAATTATCTGATAACAACCTTGTCCACGTGTGTTTATCGCGGACGTGTCATACATCCAACGGCCCAAATGATATTGGTTTGTGAATTTACGAACACGGATATAGTAATTAGTAGATCATAATTAATAACATTTGTTTCTTCATTTGGATGCATGTAAATCAAGTATTAAAGCCATTCAACCTGTATTTTTGTTGTATAAACGTAAATGTTCTATGTCGCACCGATATTAGTTTGACATTTGAAACCCGAGATATAAGGACACTACTAATAGATGAAAATGACGACGCTTAAGGATCAGCCCATAATAACTAAATCTTTTCCAATTTTGCGTCTAATTAAACAAAAACACTACTTATGGGCCGATTATTTACCATTATGGATCACTAATGGGTCTAACCGTAATCGATTAGGCCTATGCATGCGAAGTTGACAGTCTCTTGATTCGTCAAGATTGTGTCAAGTTATCATTGCTAAACAAGCTAAGAACAGGTCTAGTAGGAATTTGAAGAAAGAGTTCGGCTCAGGTTCATAGGCACACTAATGAGCTTACCCGTAATCGATTAGGCCTATGCATGCGAAGTTGACAGTCTCTTGATTCGTCAAGATTGTGTCAAGTTATCATTGCTAAACAAGCTAAGAACAGGTCTAGTAGGAATTTGAAGAAAGAGTTCGGCTCAGGTTCATAGGCACACTAATGAGCTTACCCGTAATCGATTAGGCCTATGCATGCGAAGTTGACCGTCCCTTGATTCGTCAAGGTTGTGTCAAGTTATCATTGCTAAACAAGCTAAAAGCAGATCTAGGGGAGGTTTGAAAAAAAAATTCTGCTCGGGTTCATAGGCAAAATAAGTTTAAAAAAAAAAGAAATAAAATTCAATTTGGACGGACGAATTCATCCGCACGACCTTGACGACTCCGCCTCTTAACCACGTGGGAAAAGATTTCGACGTTTTCTGGGTTGACGATTTCAACCCTTCACTCGTCTTCAAACTCACCGAGGCCTCCGTCGACGACCTCACGCGCCACCAGCAAGACCTGATCTCGAGTCTCCGGTCGGAGACGAGGAGGAAAGAGAGGGACGTGATGCGCGATTACGCGCTCGTGCAGCAGAGCGTGGCGGATCCGCCGGTGATGTTGGCGGCGAGGCGTGTTGGGGTGAGAGAAATGGTGGACGGAGAAGAGTCGGATTTGGAGGAGGCGATGGAGGTGCTTAAATCGGGGATGGCGGCGGCGATGAACAACGCCGATCAATTACGGTGTTCAACGGTGGGGAAAGTGGTGGAGATTCTTACTCCGTCGCAGGCGATTAAGGTGATTATATACTGTATGATACATTAGATTTCAAGATACGAGTGAAGGTTTCAAATTGCTTTAGCTTGTAAATGTTCTTTGACGTTTCAGTTTCTTGGCCTTTGTTTGTCTCTGAGTTGCTCTCTGCTAATGTATCAATCATCGTGTTAGACTCTCTGGATTTTTAAGCTGCATCTTTTTTCTCTGTTTCATGGCAATAAGAATGTACAAACTGGGAGCTGGATTTTGATGAACTCTATTTTAGAGTTCACTAATGGAACTTGAAAAATGGTCCAGACTTTTCCCTAAACTTAAAACCAACAAAAATTATTATAATATGTTGATGGACATGCTCTAACTAAGCGATGATAGATCAGTGATTCTCCATTTCACTTCTGTTAATCGGTAAGCAAACAAAACTATCAAACTAGATTTTATTATTCAATACACGGTCAAAATAAATATGATTATATAAGTATTATTTTGTATACATTTTCATTTACTTATTTCTGTATTTGTGTGTGTTTTGTATATACATACTATAGTGTATACGTATAGGCTTATCAATATGAAGCCTGATTGATTTTGCCTCCTTTTCCTGAGCTTGGCTTTGGCTTTGGCTTAGGCTTACTCTTCTGCAACCGCCGCTCTGTGATTTCAACGGTCGTATCATCATTTTCTTCGTCTTCCTTTCTCTCCATATCGTCTTCTTCCTCGCTGTGAGATGACAAAAGGGAATCAGAAGATGATGATGACGAACTTTCGAGACCGAGACACTTCAAGAGAGGAATCGTTACTGAAGATCGATCAAAGAACATAAATGGGATCCAATGAGAATCGTTTTCTTCACCACTCCTCAGATTCTCCATTTTTGGTTTTCTTGAATTATTTCTCTTTTTAGTTTTTTTTAAAGAGGTGTATTGTGTGTAGTTAGGTTGATGATGGAACTTGGTAACGCAGATGCGACTCCTTTTAAAGGGATGATATCACATCCCTAGGTTGTTGGTCAACTATTTGTTTGTTGACCGCAATCTATAGTAAACCGGTTTTGACATATAGCTTTGGAATAATTGGTGCTGGTATTTAGAAAACCAAGATGCATATTTGACTTACGTTTAAAAAGGTGGGGTGAATAAAAAAAAAACAATTTTGACTTTAGTCCACGCGGTCAAAAATAGCAGAGGTTGGAGCTTATGGTCTTGGTCAAAGTCCGTTCACGCTCATTCTTTGGGTATTTTTAATTAAACAAAGGTTGAATGTTGAATTGGTAAATACAGAAGAAAGAGCTTGATTATTCAAATATAAATGCCACACCATTGGTTTTGGGGGCATTTAAGTTAAAATATAGTTTCGGAAGAAAAAAAGCGGAATCAACTAAATAAAAAAAATTATGATTCTCCCACTGTAGATTATTAAAATTAGCTAATTCAAAAAAAAAATAACGTTTTGATTAAATAAAGAGGTTTATAAAAATTTCAATCATCTATAAGGAACAATTATATTGCTCTTGTGCTTTCGTTTCTTATAATCTATTAAGTACTTTGTCAAATAGTTAAAAATTCACTAAAATAAATAAACTGGTTGGAGAAAGGGGGCTTGTGCATAAGAATAATAAAAAGGCCATGCAAGTAGTCAAGTACTATGGAATGTAATCCTAAACAAACAAAAAAAAGTACTATGGAATTACATTTGAAAAGATCCATTTTTGTGCTAAAGTTTTAAATATCCAGATAATATGTAACAAAAGTTTCACATTATTCTTTTGGTTTATTGCATTGGCTTAATGCGTTTGTGGAAGAGCACCATCGTGGTCCCTTGTAAATTGTATTCAAAAACTGGGAGATAATGATTATAATATTGTAGGGCCAATTATAAAGACCCCCAAACTTCTGTCTCACCAAACCTTGTTTAATAATTATGGTTCCTCAGTGACTCGAGACTTATCACCACGGATGCCTTATGGGTTTATGATATGTTTTTTTTTTTTGTCTTTCTGTTATAATTTATGCGAATCGAAGATAATTTTTGATACTAAAGTCACAATGTACAATGTCTATTTGGTTTCGTAATTGTAAGTTGGTGCTGCCCTGCATGCCCCAATATTTAAGTTTTGTTTGATAAAGTATATGAATAAACGTACGTTTTTTTTTGTTGGTAAAATAAAATAAACATACGTTACTCCTAGAGAACACCTGTGAACTTTGTATTTGATGATATCATGCATGCTCATTGCGAATTTGTGAATTATCATAATACGATTATTATTGTAGTTTACATCATATGAAAAACATTAAGTTTGTTTGTTACCTTTATTCTTTAACTTTTACTTGTATTAGCGTTGCAGATATGTACGAGTCAGACATTTAAAACAATAGAGAAAAATACTCCTTTGTTCAGAATTATTTGATGTTTAAGGTTTTTGCACACAGTTTAAGGATTCATTTAATTTTTATTTTTTTATACTAAAAATATTATTTATAATTCATTTAAATATCATTCAGCCAATAATAAGACAATCTGCAGAATATAAAAGGTTAAAAACTATAAAAATTCATTAAATTTTGCATTGAAAAGTGAAAACATCAAATAATTCTGAACAAAAAAAAACCTTCTAAAATATCAAAATAATTCTGAACAGAGGGAGTAGTTGATTTACACGCATAGAGTTACCGACCACTAATTAATGTGGATTAGGACTGAGGACGAACTGTTGACTCTTAACTAATCATTAATTACTAATTGGTACGTCTTTAATGTTTAACATTGATTAGGGACAGATACGTTCGATAGCACTGGTTACGAACTTATGATGGTCGAACAATTTTTTTAAACCGAAATATAAAGTTTTTATCAGAAACAAACCATTTCACATCAAATGATCAAATGCTACAGTTTTCATGTGGGACGAACATAAAGAAAAAAAATATATATATAATCGGGAATATAATGAAGTTTTATGTTGTTGTTGAATCAACTTACAAAAATTTGTGTCGGAAAACTGTTAATAACATTAAAATAAGAAGAAATAGACAATGTTGTTATTTAAATATTACTCCCTCTATTCAGAATTATTTGATGTTTTAGAAGGTTTTTTTTGTTCAGAATTATTTGATGTTCTCACTTTTCAATGCAAAATTTAATGAATTTTTATAGTTTTTGACCTTTTATATTCTGCGAATTGTCTTTTTATTGGCTGAATGATATTTAAATGGATTATATATAAATAATATTTTTAGTATAGAAAAAATAAAAATTAAATGAATCTTTAAACTGTGTGCAAAAACCTTAAACATCAAATAACTTAAACATCAAATAATTCTGAACCTGAGTGAGTATTTTGATTGCGAATAATTGCACTAAAAAATGTAATTTATGTGCTAGTGATGCTGGCCAGGACGGCCGGAGCTAACTCTTTCCTTCCCTTTCTTCTTTGCTCTGACCTTTATGCCCCTACTCGACACAACGACGCCGTCTTTACCGCCCCTAGTCGTCACACCGACGTCCTCTTTGGTGGCAACATCTTCATCTTCTTCCTCCTCCTGCAATTGCAAAGACATGTTTGGATTCATCTCATTAATAATATTAATAAATAATAAAAGCATGCTAATAGCTCTCTATGAAGATAAAAATCTGTTTATTTGACTGAAAACTGACCTTTATAACATGATCCTTACTTTCATCCCAACGTAATTTGATTTTTCTAAAACTAATTCTCGTGATTGCAAAATTTTATACACTAGTTCGAAAACAAAAAATTACCTAAATTCTGGTCCTAATTCCTAACTTAGAAGAACTAAAAAGACAAAACACACACGCATACAGCAAGCGCTCATAATAATGCTACCATCCAAACATTTCAACATATTTTCGGAGCTTTCAAACATAATAGATTAAATGATTAGTTTCCACGCGCGCATCACCAATTTAGTATATACACATTCAACAGAAGAAATTGATAATTCCATCCATATTAATGCAAAATATTATCTTGGAAAATTGTTAAATATTGTTCAATAAATCACACAACAGCAAAAAAATTAATAATCCCTTCTTTTTTATCATCCCGAATTAGTCCCATAATCCCATATTAATCATGATAAAATTAAAAATGCCACATAAATCCGAAATATTGTAAGGAAAGCTTACCGACTGGTTTAAAGTCACCGGAGACGTCGTCGTTGGAGAATGGTGATGAACAAGGCCAAGACACCTGAAGATAGCTCTAAGAGTTTGGTCGAGGAACTGAAATGGAACCCATAGATAAGTTTCTTCTTCGCTTCGTTTATCTAATTTCTCCATTGATGTCTCAGATAAAACTTTTGTTCGTGGGTTTAGTTTCGGTGAGAGGAGTGAAGCTATTCTTTTCATGTGAGTGATTAAACAGAGAGACAACTTTGCGTTTTATAGTGGGCTAACTCGGTATTTGGTGTAAGCCTTTTGGTATAGAATACATTTTCTTAAAGCATAAATTTGTAATATGATTAAGTAGTCCCTTTCTGAGTTTCTTATTATCATATGACAAAAAACCAAAATAAAATTGAAGATATGAAAATTATTATTGCATGTAAAATATTATATTTTGGTTGTTAATAGCGAAATTAAGCACGTGGCTTTAGGTGGGTTGATGACTACATTCTACTACTAAATTAAAGCGAGAAGACTATACTCCAACGACTGGCTACGAGGACGAATATTGGGCTTATTGATTGAATTTTGAATGTTTCCACTAGCAAGTTGGGATCAAATAAACCCTTTAGCCAAAAATTAAAAAATGGGATACAATGAAAACTACGTTCGGAGAAACCTTTTTGATCGAATATTTAATGACCTAAATTCTGTTTTCTTACAAATTGTCTTCTTTCCACTTTATGGAACTATGATTATTATTTTCGATAAACTCAATAAACTCGTAATCAATTGGAAGGTATAACAATCAAGACGCCTAACTATAAAAAGTTTGATGCAAATGTTAAGCAAGACAGTTTAGCTTGTTATATATTAGATATATGCTTGATCAAGAATGATAAACTACACGTCTTCAACAGTTAGTTCCAGATGTAAATCATATAGTTGTGGTGTGAGACACTTAGGAAAAAAGCATGTGGTCAAATATTGTTGTCTCAAGGAAATAAAAAGAAGAAACAACGACTCCCACCGTTGTTGGCGTTGGATAAGTCTCTTGGCTTTTTCGGATTGTTTGCCTTTTGGATTTCAAGACTAATTTATAAATCCCGATAAACGTTTTACTTTTTTTGGGGATGAGTATTTTTGTTTGACTAACACGTTTTTATTTTCTCTATTTTTAAAATTCAGTTAGTGTGATTGTCCAATTTCCTTTATATATTTTACATACTTGTGATTTTTTCTTCTTTTCTTTTCTATTTCTTGATTTAGGCGTCGATGGAAGTGCTCAAAGAATTTTCCACAAGCACTTTATTCATTGGATTGATGGCATTATATATTTCGGATTCCGAGTGGGCTTTTTTATTTTTGGTAATTCAATGTAAGTAATTGAGCCCCGAATATAGTATATATATATATAACTTTGATACATTTTGACTTAACTAACCATGGTGAAAACGCTATTGTCACGCCAAAGAAAAAGAGAAGAATTTGCTGAGTTAAACTCATTCGTGTTACCCCCAACATTTAACCTTTTCATGTCTGTACTTACAAGTTTCTTCATTCTCTCCTACTCAATTTGCTTGCTACACATCAACACATATTAAAAATGCAACGTGTGAGTATGTTCTTTCTCCTCTATTCACAAGAATTTCATTCATCTCTGTTTTTTAGATTCTGGTCTCAGGGAATCATCGGTTTCTTCGGTACTCCTGTCAAGCCCGAGACACTTTAGAAATGCAGTTCCAGCAAGTTGAAACAAATTACATGGATGATGATGCAAATTACGACTCGATTCTTTCTCCTGCAAACATTGGTCTTCCTCTGTTCTTGTGACTCTCCTTGTTTCAGCTGGTGTTATCTCTCCTTTTATGGCCTGAGAACTTCCCATCTGTGGTAAAAAGAAAACCAATGATCACATTAACACACGAAGAATCTAACATGGGTCGTTGGTGACACATAGTGTCATTCACCACCAATGCGTTTAACTATGAATCAAAGAAACGGATTTGTGGACACCACACGAAATTTGAAGAAGACTATATGGAAAAACCAGAGTAACTCCTGATCCATAATCCGAAATATCTGTGTTGCAATCATCTAATATTTTCAGGATTTTTTCTAACATGTAGCAATCGGGGAACTAAACCAAACGTCTAAATAATGCCTTTCCTACTTAAAGACAAAACTACCAGATTATTGATACTTAAAGATAAAACTTACATCTCCTGTGAAGCCTAAGCAACTGTGAAACCTAAGCAGGTAAAGCTTTAACGCCAAGGAAAATAAAAGATCCTTGGTTCGTAATGGAAAAGGGGCAATTTCAAGTATATCAACAACTTACGAACACATACCTGAAAAATCTCAATGTGAAGGTCTTAGCTAATGACTCTCAGTAATTGAATAGCATGACATTATTAACACAAACAAATATGATTGCTTACATAGTTTTGTGCCGAAATGATAATCAAGCACGCACCAGCTATATGATCCAAAAACCAAAATTAGGAAATCTCCATTCCCTATGTTTAGCTAAAATTTTTACTCTTTGCTAAATTGAAAAAAGCCAATTATCTAAATCTAATTTCGAGTACTTACAACTTTTCGCTATCATTACATTCAAATGTGGTCACTCTCCAGCTAATTTTGGGCAGCCACTTTCTCCCTTATTCTTAATTGCAATCTAAGCCCTTAAGATTCATCAACATTTTGCGAATTCCCCCATAATTTGTTTCACCTTCCCAGAAACCACATTGAAGAAAGAAAGCAACAATGTCGATTTCAAACAATATAGGGAAATTAACAGTTGAAGCTGAAATGTGCAAAACAGCAAGTCAACGGGAAGCAGGTACGACTAATTCCGTGATTCGTCGATGGAATAGATAAGAGAGGGACAGATAGTTTGAGTTACCTGATTAGACTGTACGTGACTTGAATTGACGGAAAACCCCAAGCCGTGGTGGCTGATCTGAATCGGATCTCCAGGAAGAAATCGCCGAGAAAGAGATGAGCAGGAGGTAGAAGGAACGGAATCGGAAGATGAGCAACTGTTATCGCTGATATCTAAGGATAATATCCCGAAGACACAAAGGAGGAGTAAGAGGAGGAAGAAGACGAACATTTGGATCCATATGAGCCATGGGATATTGTAGCTATCTACCATTAGAAACTCTTTCCCGGAATCCTCGAGAAAGATACGAATTTTGCGGGAAGAGAGATTCAGAATCCTCGAGGATCTCTTTCAGGAAAGGATTGAGGAAGAAGAAGACGACGATCAAGGGAAGGCGACGAGAAGTTAGGTGGGTGAAGGGAATGATAAAGCCACGGAGCTGTGATTTTCCTGATTTTTTCAAGGCCACCGCGAGAAAATAACGGCAAAAAGTTGCTTTAGTTGGTACTCCACGTGTAACGCGTTAATTGGGTGATAAGGTGATAACACGCGATCTTTGTAAACCTTTTTAAAGGATTCTTTTCCTAATTTTATGTAATTCTGTTATACTGTTTAATTTTAAAATAATTATTGCATAAAATACGCTATATAAGATTTTTTACATTTAAATACACATAAAAAAACGAAAGATAAACATAAAATACCTTTGACCAAAATACAAAACATAAAACACCAATCAAAATCATGGATATACATGAATTTATCATATAAATATTGTGTTGCTATTTATACAATTGAAGATATGTGTCCACGTAATTCAATCGTCATCGTCAATTATATAAACTTTAAAATATCGATGTGTTGAAGAAATTTTCTAGAAGGCAATATTGAAATATAGACTATATTGAAATTTGGAAAATCATAGACTATAACATTAATTCCATTGTAATGTTCATAACAAAACATTAATTCGATATACAACAATAGACTATCTAATAGACGTTGTCACGTTGATTAAATAAAATACTATTTGCTTTTTTTTGTCAAAATTTGTTAAGTAAAAAAGTACAGTATACTGATTGTAAAATTAAGTTTGGGGATAACACTTTTTTTTTTTTGAGAAAAAGGGGATAAACACGTTAACAGAAGAGAATATTTGTCACTTGCTCTTATTTTCTTCGAATCTACGTAGGTAACATAGGCGTATTTGAGGACTTATAAGCGTCTTAAACCATCTCCATCGCAGGTTTATACCGGTATTATAGGTGGGCCAGTGTGTTTATTTTGGGTTTTAAAATTGTAAAAATGGGCTTCGTGCGATGATACGGTATGACTGCACTCATACTCATCATCCGATATCATCGCTGTAGCAATGACGACGTGGCGAGTATTGATTCGTCGAAGGCGAAGTTGTGTTTTGATTATTTTCGGGCCATTTCTCGACCAAGTCCACAAAACGCGAAAAACTTCTAGGGTTCACGGAGACGAAAACGGCGACTGTATTCTCTGAATCGTTTCGACGCAGTCGGAGCAAAAAAGCACAGGAAACCTTCCGATTTGGTGGGCAAGGTACGCGGTTTCTCTCGTCTCGCAGAATTACATCTTTTCTGCAGAGTTTTCGGGTAAATTAGGGTTGAGGGTTCTGGGGAAAATTTCGGGTTTTTTCCGATAGAAATTAGGGGTTTTTGAAATATGAGTCTGCGTTAGTTTGAATTGTTTAGATTACTGTTGTTTGCGACTTGTATGATATCGAGATTAGGGTTTCAGAAAAGGGGAAAATCCGGGGATATGAATCGATTTTGTTAAGGGTTTTAAAATTCGGGGATGTGAATCGATTGAATTGGGGCTTCTTTGAGTTGTTATTGTTTCAGTAATTTCGCTTTGTTGATTCTGTGAATTCGATGGTTTAGCATATGTGTGATCGTACATTGTGTATACTCGATGTTATGTATCTACTTGTTTCTTGTTTAGTCGATATTTGCCATTCGATTGATGTTTTGTTTATTCGATATTATGTAAGTACTTGTTTCCTGTGTGAATAAAATGGTACTACCATATGCTTGTTTTGTAGTTTAGGCAATCTACTTGTTTCTTGTTTAGTCGATATTATGTAACTTGGAGCCTACCATATGCTTGATCGTTGCAACCTTATGGCATCTATGTATTGTCTGTTTTTGTTTATTGTTCTGTGTATGTCATTTTTTTGGCATCTTTTTGCTTTTGGGTTTGTGTGTTTATGGCTGCAGGTTTCGGCGTGTGTGCCAGGGAACCACACAAAGGTAAATATCCTTTTATCTCCTTCGTTAATACCTTATGTTTCTGTTTGTATCTAATGACTGAGTTCTTGTTATACTTATGTTTGCGAGGTACCTCTAACGAGAAATGAGTGGTTGAAGGAACTTTCAAGTTAGCTTCCGACGAGGTTACACCCATGCTTTTAATGCGGTAAGTTTTGTAAATATCCTTTGTACTTTTGCATTAAAAATGGTTAGGTGGTAGTAATGGTCTCGCTTGTCTATATTGCTGGATTAGGTTAGGGTAAATAGTTGTTAGGTTTAGAGTTAAAGCCAATCTTGTCAAAACTTTGTTGAGGTGTAAATACTTGTTAGGTTTAGAGTTAAAGCCAATCTTGTCAAAATTCATTGCAAAATAACTATTAACACTAAAAAGAAAACTAATAATAAAACTCTTGAAACCAAACACCAAAAACACTTATAAAACATGTCAAGTTCTTTCTGCCTTATTCATTCTGACTTACTCCTTCTTCTTGTTTCCTATCTGACCCCGCAAATCCTTTTTTTACATGGTCTAAATATTTGAAGTTCTTTCTTCTTTCTTTCTTCTTTCTTTCTTCTTCTTTCTTCTTTCTACTTCTACCGTACTATGGATTTACCAAACCCTTACGGTAACTCCAATAGTTTTTTAAACCTCTTAAATAGCCAACAGGAAAACACATTTTCCTTCTCACCGAGTATAGATCTTGCATCCTCTCAAGTTCCTAACTTCAGCACACAGCAGACTAAAGATAGAAGTGTTCCCGCTGAGGATCGCACTACAAGGAGGAAGTGGCATCCTACAGAAGATGTCGTTCTGATCTCGGCTTGGTTGAATACGAGCAAAGATCCTGTCGTCGGTAATGACCAAAGAGCAGGAGCCTTCTGGAGCCGGATAACTAACTTATTCAACTCGAGTCCAGAATTAGCTGACTTTCAAAACCGAACTCTAAGTCACTGTAAGCAGCGTTGGCAACGAATCAATGATCAAACTTGTAAGTTTGTAGGGAGCTATGAAGCAGCATTGAAAGAGCAAAGCAGTGGCCAAAACGTAAACGACGTGATGAAGAATGCACATCAAATATTCCTCAATGATCACGGGTTTAAGTATGCACTTGAGCATGCGTGGAGGGAACTGAGGCATGACCAAAAGTGGAGCTCATCATCGGCTGTAAAAGATGCTGAAAAAAAAAACGGAAGAAAGGGGAAGCTAACTCGCCTATGCCAGATTCCGGTCAACCTGATTGTCACGGAGAGGAGACAGCAGAGATCAGGCCCCCTGGTGTGAAGGCTGCAAAGAAATCAAAGGGTAAAAAGGCTGTTCGAGGAGTTGAAGAGGATAATAAAGATTTCATCAACATGTGGGAAATAAAACAACAAGATATAGCACACAAAAGGATGCTCTCCAGGCAGAGAATGCTTGAACACTTACTCGCAAGAGGAGATAGACTATCAGAGGGTGAAAAATCTCTAAGGGAAACACTCATTAAGGAAATCTTGTCTTAGTGTTGGATGTTTTAAATTTTCTGTTCCTTTTTTGGTTTCCATGTTTAGGTTTTCTGAACTAGTATGATTATCTGTCTCTTATGTCATATGTTATATCTCGTACTGGCTGTTTAATGTCGTTATAGTGAATCGGTTATGTTCATCTCTTAATGGCTGTCTCTTATATATGTTTATGTTTCCTTTGTCTGTTTTGATTTTTATTGGCGTACAGGTTATAGTGACAACTCAGGAGCAAGTTGGTGGAATAAGTGTATTTTGAGAGACGTTTTCTATCCACAAAATCTTTTATGGTATCCAAAATTTTATGTAAATGATTAGTAACCACATGTACATCTATATATAGAAACTGCAGTTGGTCGTAAATTTTAGTATCACTCCACATTTGTTATAAAAATTGTCATCCCTTTTTTTCTTACCCAGCAAACCTCTTCACACCATCCTTATTCAAATTTTTTCCTAATCCTCTTCAAAAATCCTCATTCTCCTTTATGGCTTCTTCTTCTAATAATGATCAATATAATCCATATGAAGCTGGCGATGATGGGCTATATACTCCTTATGATGGTGTCAATGATGGCCTTGATGAGAGTTTTGATGACATGTTTGATCAAAAATTTGACGACGCCTTCAACGCTTTACTTGAGAGACAAGCCGGTTCTAAACCAAAGAAGACGAAGAGGGCATATATTGAAAGACAACGAGAACAAGGGCACACCCAATTATGGAACGACTACTTCGCTGAGAACGCAACATATCCTTCCCATATATTTCGCCGTCGGTTTAGAATGAACAAGCCATTGTTCATGTACATTGTGGAACGACTATCAAATGAAGTGCCATATTTTCAACAAAAGAGAGATGCTGTTGGAAGACTTAGCTTATCTGGATTACAAAAATGTACGGCAGCAATCCGTATGTTGGCGTACGGAAGTGCGGCTGACGCAGTTGATGAATACCTTCGGCTAGGTGAAAGTACGGCAATCAAATGCTTGGAAAAATTTACCCAAGGAATAATATATCTTTTCGGGGATGAATACCTAAGAAGACCCACACCAGAAGATCTTAAAAAGCTGCTAGACGTTGGGGAGGCCCGGGGGTTTCCAGGTATGGTAGGAAGTATTGATTGCATGCACTGGGAATGGAAAAATTGTCCAACAGCTTGGAAAGGGCAATATACACGGGGCTCAGGGAAACCAACAATTGTCTTAGAAGCTGTAGCATCACACGATCTGTGGTTTTGGCATGCTTTTTTTGGACCTCCAGGTACGTTAAATGATATCAATGTTCTTGACCGTTCGCCTGTGTTTGATGACATATTACAAGGCCGAGCTCCTAAAGTCAAATATTATGTCAACGGACACCAATACAACCTGGCATATTACTTAACCGACGGAATTTATCCAAATTGGGCAACATTTATCAAATCAATTCCGCTTCCACAATCTGAAAAGGCCAAGACATTTGCAAGATGCCAAGAAGGTGTACGAAAAGATGTCGAACGGGCTTTCGGAGTCTTACAAGCCAGGTTTGCCATTGTTAAAAATCCTGCTCTTATTTGGGATAAGGAAAAAATAGGAAAGATCATGCGGGCATGTATCATATTACACAATATGATAGTTGAAAACGAGCGACCATTGGACACCCAATACAATATATCAGAAATTTAAAAACGGCGATGGAAGCAGAACGTCAGAAGTCGATATGACATATTCAACTAATATGTCCACAAATCTTACCAATATGATCGGCATTCGAAACGAAGTTCGTGACAAGAAAATTCATGACCGCTTGACGGCTGATTTAGTTGAACACATATGGCTTAAATTTGGAACAGAAACGCCTTTTGATTAAACATTTACTTCCTGTATTAGTATATCATATGTTGTAAAATTTATTTGGAATAATTTGTAATTTAAATTATAAACTCTATGTAATATACCTTGTTTAACAATGTAATAAGTTGGTTTTTAAATGTATTTATAAATAACTCAAAAAAAAAAATTGATTTTTATATCAAAAAAAAAAATTATTTTTTTAATCCTATAAACTCCGAATTACGGGTTCAGGGATGAAGTGAATTTTTAGTTTGAGGTTCTTCACTGTTTAAAAAAAAAAAAAAACCATTATAATATTTGCTATGATACCCAATGTGGGTATCAGCAATGGAGATGCTCTTATGCTTCACACACACACGCAAACAAACTCGTTTCTAAAAATCCCTAAATTTCTCTAATAAAGAAACAAAACCTCTAAAATCCTAAGGAAGAAGAAGAATGGGTTACAAAGTCGCTAGAGCATCGGAGTATCTTGCGATCAATGGTGCTGGGATCAAAGACATCAAGCTTGCAAAGAAGTCTTGGGTGTATCCATGGCAGTCTTGCACCGTCTTCGACGTTTCTCCGGTGAACTACACGTTCGAGGTTCAGGCCATGAGTTCCGAGAAGCTCCCCTTTGTTATCCCGGCCGTTTTCACGATCGGTCCACGTGTTGATGACCCTCATGCTCTCTTACTGTACGCTATGCTTATGTCTCAACACGATAAGCGCTCGAATCACGTCAATGAGCTTGTTCAGGGTGTTATCGAAGGAGAGACTCGTGTTCTTGTTGCCTCCATGACCATGGAAGAAGTCTTCAAAGGTAAATTAACATACGCTTCTTTTTATCATAATCTTTGCGCTCGATTTGTTAGATTAGAAACGGTTTTCAATTGCTAAATAGAAGTTTGACTGATTCTTGTCTAGAAGAATTCACTTTTTGATTATATTACAAATCAAATATTATGGCAATATATATTGTAGGAACAAAGGAGTTCAAGAAGGAAGTCTTTGACAAGGTTCAACTTGAGCTAAACCAGTTTGGTCTTGTGATCTACAACGCCAATGTGAAGCAGCTCGTTGATGTGCCTGGACATGAGTACTTCTCTTACTTGGGTCAGAAAACTCAGATGGAAGCAGCCAACCAAGCCAAGATCGATGTAGCAGAGGCCAAGATGAAGGGAGAGGTCGGTGCCAAAGAACGTACCGGGCTCACCATCCAGAATGCAGCGAAGATTGACGCTGAGTCTAAGATTATATCCACTCAGAGGCTAGGAGAAGGGACAAAGGAAGAGATCAAGGTGAAGACTGAGGTCCAAGTGTTTCAGAACGAGAAGGAAGCTCTTGTTGCTCAGGCTGATGCAGCATTGGCTATTCAGAAGGCTTCTCTGACCAAAGAATCTCGTGTGGCTGAAGTTGAAGCAGCCAAGGCAGTTGCTTTGAGGGAAGCTGAGCTTCAGACTAAAGTAGAGCAAATGAATGCATTGACCCGGATAGAGAAGCTTAAAGCCGAGTTCCTCAGTAAAGCCAGTGTTGAGTACGAAACCAAGGTAATGCATATCTCAAATTCTTACGACTAATTTACTAGGATTCTCTCAATCTCTCTCTTTCTTTCTTTGAATTTGGATCATGACACATAGGTACAAGAAGCAAACTGGGAGCTATACAATAAGCAAAAGCAAGCAGAGGCGGTTCTTTACGAGAAGCAGAAGCAAGCGGAGGCTATGAAAACTGCAGCTGATGCTGCCTTCTATTCCAAACAGAGAGATGCAGAGGGACTTGTTGCCATGGCCAACGCTCAAGGGACCTATCTCAATACTCTCCTAGGCGCAGTTAACAATGATTACTCAGCCATGAGGGACTTCTTGATGATCAACAATGGGGTTTATCAAGAAATCGCCAAGACCAATGCGGTTGCTATCAGGGACCTGCAGCCTAAGATCAGTATGTGGAACAATGGTGGTGCCGATCAAGGGATGAATGGTGGTGGTAATGGTAATGCTATGAAGGATATAGCTGGACTTTACAAGATGTTACCACCGGTTCTTGATACGGTTTATGAGCAGACCGGTATGCAGCCGCCGGCTTGGATTGGTACAATACGTGGTGCTGAGCCTAAACAATCACTTCAGACTCAACAATACAGAGGCTGAGATCTCAACAGTGCTTTATAATTTATTTATTTATTAGGATATTTATTATGCTTTAGAACTTTGGAAGTTAGCGTTCGTAGACATACCAATAGCATTTCACAAACGTGACTATGATGAGTTGATGACTAAGGGGCTTTCGAAAAGGATAGGGGGTTTTTCTGTTTTTTCTTTTTCTTTGACTTTATGGAAAATTTGGCTTTTATCAAGGATATCAAGTGTGTTTATTAACTTATTATTATCATGTTATTGCGTGCTCAAGCTACCATTATCCGATCGTGATATGAAGGATATTATTAACTGAATATATCTCAATTTTGATTAACTTGATTACAAAATAAAATTATAAATTAGGTTGTTGCTTCAAAATAGTTCAATGGAATTAAAGATGAGATCTTCTAGATATCTCAGAATTTCTATCTATATGTTCTTTAAAGAATCTTTACTTGCATAAATCTTGTTTTTTAGTTTCTTTAACTTGAACGAATCTTAAATTCCTCGAAATTAATATAGTCTTATATTTTAATGGGTAAATTTTACGAATTTTCTTGTACCAATCAAAACTGTCAGCATCAAAACTAGTTGTTATTGACATCCAAAAAGAGAGAAAAAAATAAAACAGTTCAAAACCTACCACTTTATTACGATGGGCCGACGGGTACTTTGACTTTAATGACTCCGAGGACCACTCTCCAATTATTTTTCCTCTATCGGAATATTTTTAAGACCTCTTAACTGCAATTTCTTAGCAAGTAGTGTTCATTATTGAGGACCAGTGGGTGAAACTTCGAAGATGGTAGGTACCACTGAAATTTACATTTACTTTTCTAAAGAGTTATAGTTTTACTGTTTTATGGTTCAAAAAATTAAATCACATTGCATGGGGTTTTAAGGATATAAGGATATTGGATCCGATCTCGTCGGCCTAAATTTTGGGGGCATCACTAAAAGCCCAAAATACGGCCTTGAAAATGGCGCCATTGGCGAGATTTCCACGCACGTGATTATCACATGATCCTTTCACACTCTCTCAACTAAGCTGCGAAGATGAACAAAATATCTTCACTCACTTCTTTTGTCTTTTGGTGTGGAGAAGCTTTGATGATCATTATCCATGACGATTCTTAGCTCGTCTCCTTCACTGTGTTCTCTCAAGATTTTCCGATCATCCTCTCGGGATTCTCTTATCGACGCTGCTTTCTTCGGGAATAGGACAAAGGCGTCTCAGTCTTTCAATCTCCGGCTCCGAATGCAGGTCGTTTCGAGTATCTCGGCTTCTCTTACATGTAGTAGTGCCGGTGAAGATTTCCCTGTAGACTATGAGCAGTGGCTACCAATTCATGATTCAGATAGCCGGAGAAGAGCCGGTGTTTTGCTCCACCCGACGTCGTTTCGCGGTCCTCATGGCATTGGTGATCTCGGAGAAGAAGCGTTCCGGTTCATCGATTGGCTTCATTCTACTGGTTGTTCAGTTTGGCAGGTGAGTATTCTCTGGTTTTGTGATTAGGCATTCGTGTAATTGCTCTGTTCTGCTCGTCCAGCGAAGTTAATTGTTTTTGTAAATCTAGATTGAACTTGGAATCATTACTCTGAAGAGTAGGGGAAGTTTTTCGCCATTGAATTTTAAGGTGCGATAAAGTTCTTTTTTCCTGGCATTGTTTTGTGAGCAGGTTCTTCCTCTTGTTCCTCCAGACGAAGGAGGATCTCCTTATGCAGGACAGGTTTGTCTTTTTGGATTCCAAAATTTAAATTGTTTATTTCACTTTGTCTGCAACTTTTTGTTTTCTGAGTTATTGACTGCTTGCTTGTGACGGCTACTTCTAGGATGCAAATTGTGGGAATACATTGTTGATTTCTCTGGATGAGCTTGTAAAAGACGGCTTGTTAATGAAGGATGAGCTCCCACAGCCAATGTGCACATCTTCTCTGTGGTTTCTTAAGTGGACTCTGTTATTTTTGTTTGGTCTCATTCTCAACTCAGATCTCTTTTATTATCCAGTGATGCTGATTGTGTCAACTATCAAATTGCCGACAAGTTAAAGACTCCGTTGATAACTAAGGTACATAATCTGGCTTGCGGTTATGGCTGTCTTTTTTTTTTCTTCTCTGGAGTTAAAATACTAGTAATGAAGACAATGCTTTTAGTCTAGCTTACAGAAATTCATTAAATTCCTGTAGTTTTCAAACTAAGCTGCCTAGCATAAACTCTCTCTGTATTTAGTAATCTTGATGGATAAATTCATCTATTTCTTCATTGATTATAACCACTGATCTGGCTTGCGAAGTTAAGTTTGATCACTGACCTTTTCTTAGGCAGCAAAGAGGCTTATTGGTGGCAATGGTGAACTGAAGAGCAAACTGCAAGATTTCCGTACTGACCCCTCTATATCATGTGAGAAATATACAATTAAAAAGATTCGTTTATTATCATTCTGTTGGCTTATTCTAAATAACAAGTTCTCACTGAGGATATTCTGTTCACTATGCATAGGTTGGCTTGAAGATGCTGCTTATTTTGCAGCTATAGACAATACTTTAAATGCATACAGTTGGTTTGAGTGGCCTGAACCACTTAAAAACCGTCATCTTTCAGCAATGGAAGCTATATATCAAAGTCAAAAGGAGTTCGTAAGATTTTGGTGGCTTTAGCTAACTTCTTGGATTTGATTTCATTATGAATTAATGTTCTGTGAAGCCTTTTAGGGTAAACTTTTCTTCTTTGCTGCAGATAGACTTGTTCATTGCTAAACAATTTTTGTTCCAAAGGCAGTGGCAGAAAGTTCGTGAGTATGCACAGAGTAAAGGAGTCAATATAATGGGAGATATGCCCATCTATGTAGGATATCACAGTGCAGATGTTTGGGCAAATAAGAAGCATTTCTTACTGGTAAGTAAAAGGTTTATATATAGAGGCAAACAATCTTGTTGTATGTCCAAGGAGAGTAATTTAGACTTTCCTGAAAGCCTTTTTTTTTTGTTCTAAATCTGTACGCAGAATAGGAAAGGCTTTCCGCTTCTAGTTAGTGGCGTTCCTCCTGATCTATTCAGTGAAACGGGTCAACTGTGGGGAAGGTTTTGATACTACACCTCCTACTTTAGATTATCGGTTTGATGCTTGGTTAGTTCTTTTCACCTGATGTAGATAAACAGTGTTACTGAAACATAATCGACGTGAATAAGTTTTTGGCTTTCCCGAACTATTTGTTCACAATCCTGCTATAACTTGTTCTTCTTCACTCTCTTATATTTATTTCTTCACCATGATATTTATTGATCTTTTTCGTCCATTTTTTTGAAGCCCTCTTTATGACTGGAAAGCAATGGAGACTGACCACTATTCTTGGTGGGTTAATCGGCTACGACGAGCACAGGACTTGTATGACGAATGCAGGATCGATCATTTCAGAGGATTTGCAGGGTTTTGGGCAGTCTCTTCTGGTGAGTTAATCCTCAAACTATAATATATTTGTTGGGTATATATTGGGTTGGTAATTAAGAGGTTTGATCATGTGATACTCTGCAGAAGCTAAAGTTGCCACGGTTGGAAGATGGAAGGTGCTTTGCTTAATCCGTTGATGTATATATAATCAGGTAAAAAAAACTAAGAATAAGAAAAGTTGTATTAATATGTAGGTAGGACCCGGAAAGTCTTTATTTGATGCCATTTCGAGCGGTGTTGGGAAGATCAAAATCATAGCTGAAGATTTGGTAAGCTCATTTGACTTAACTATACAGACACTCAGTAGTTACATAAAAGTTAACTTACATATACTCAGTGTTTGCTAATAGATGCTACACTTTGTCATAAGACAGGGAGTTATTACTAGAGATGTAGTTGAGCTGAGGAAATCAATCGGAGCACCTGGAATGGCGGTCCTCCAGTTTGGTAAAATAGCTTGGCTTCCCCTCATGTTCCTTACTGTATTTCTAATTTCTTTCTACCTATTTGATTCTTTTTCTGATTTCAGCTTTTGGAGGCGGCGCCGATAACCCACATTTACCTCATAATCACGAAGTTAACCAAGTTGTATACTCTGGAACTCATGACAACGACACTGTAAGTTTTGTTTTAGCTTTTAATTGATTTTACTGAACCCGTAAAGAAGCCCGGAAGAAATGTATATGTCCTGTCGATTTATCTTGTTAAATAGATTCGTGGGTGGTGGGACAATCTGGACCAAGAAGAAAAGTCTAAGGTAATCTCACTGATGATTTCATACCCATTTAGCAAAAATTATTTTTTGTTCTTTTTCTGTTCCGTAGCTTATGATTGTAAGATAATCACAATGGCGATTTTATTTCCTCATTGACAGGCAATGAAATACCTGTCAATAGCTGAAGAAGACGATATCTCATGGGCACTTATCCAAGTTGCGTTCTCTTCAATCGCTCAAACCGCAATAATACCAATGCAAGACATTCTCGGACTTGGAAGTTGTGCCAGGATGAATACTCCAGCCACTGAGGTTAGTCATTGCTTTTTATCTGATAAGCTGTAGTCAAATTGGGAAAAAAAACAATGCGTGTTAAATTTTTAGTCATTGCTCTTTATCGCAGTTGATTTCTTTGTAGTTATAGTAGACAAATTTGATAGAAACATATATTTGTTTGCTCGGATTGTGATACGTGTTTCTAACAATGTGATTTTTGTACGTGTGAAATACACAAAGGTGGGGAACTGGGGTTGGAGGATTCCGAGTTCAACGAGCTTTGATCATCTGAAAACGGAATCTGTCAAACTCAGAGATCTATTGTCATTGTACGGTCGGCTTTGAGTAAATCATCCGACATGTCTAAGAAGAAGAATCTTTCGTTTTTCCTATTATGATAAAATGCAAATAAAGAACAACGAAAGCTATATATATGCTTCGTTTGAAAACGTTAACCAGTGATATGGCTATGATTTCGCATGTTAAACTTCACCGTTCTTTAATAATGTTTGTTCACGTATCAAAGTAATCTTAAACACACGTTTTATTTCAATTTCATGTTAAGGAATTGTAAAATCCAGCTTAAGAAAGGGAGAAGTTTTAGATCGACGGCTTGGGTGAATCAGTAACGGGATTTTCTTACATTGGAACTGAAGATTCATTCGCCTTTATTGAAGGATGAAGATCCAGTTAACATAAATTTGAGTGCAGGAAACAACGAATGTCGTATCTTTTGTGAGTAACAAAACTTAGCCAAGCCTTGACTAATTTCTTGATTTCGAAACAACATATACTCTCTTATTTTGTTTTTCAATGTATCGAGCTATATTTACTGGACCAAGCTTAAAAAATTAGACTATTGTTTGGCGGGTTGAGCCAGGCCCATGCAGTAGTGCAACGCATGGGCGACTCGCGAAAGCCCAGATAGCAAGCTATCTTGGTGGGCTTTCTCCCTTAAAAAATAGAGTTAATATCGTGTGAGCCGATGGCCCACGTATCAGATATTAAACTGATAAGAACAGATACTACACTTGATCTTAGCCAAAAGGCCGAGAAAGGTATGAGTTGCAAGTGAGGCTCGGCCTCGTATTTATACTACGTGAAAATGAGCGACGTCTCTCTCGCTAAGCGATGTGGGACAAAAACTAAAAACAAAGTTTAAGCAAACGCCTTTCCTATTATTATATAGGCTAATACCAAAAATAACCCTCTAACTTATTTTGTCTCTTTGTTTGCAATTGATCACAGAACGTGATGAAGACCCAGAAGAAACGTTATGAACTGGGTTTTATAATTTGAGCTCAGTCTAGTGAGATCTATGTGCACAGAGGAGGGTCATAATTTTATAGTTCAAACTCTGGGAGTCTGAAAAAACTCTATCTTTCGTAACTTCAGATTTTTACATTGTTTCGAAAGAATGTTTAATTGTCGGTGAGGTGGAAATCTCTTCTCCTGGTCCTGGGTAAAGGAAAGGTCGATACTTAAAGTTCTTCAATTGGGGGATATTTTAAGGAGTCGACGCTCTGATGCCATTGAGTTCGTAAACTAAGAGGAAGTTTGAAATTTTAAGATGGGATTTAGATCGACGGCTTAGGTGTAATCAGTAACAAGTTCCGTTTCGTCAGCCACAAAAAAAAGATACTGTTGACAGTGGGATTTGAACCCACGCCCTTTCGGACAGGAACCTTAATCCTGCGCCTTAGACCAACTCGGCCATATCAACTTTGTTGTCCCTTACAGACTTATTATATATACAAACATTTTACATTTAAAATAAAGACGAGCCATTCACATATTATCTATTTCATTTCTTTAGAATAGATATTGAGTGAAGACTTAAATTACGACTTACGAGGATGATTGTATTAGACGTAACGTATGTGATTGATTTTTTAATGGCAACCACACTATTTGAAAGATAAGAAAAAAGTAATGTATCACATATCTGCTCTGCATTACACATTGTCTAAATAAAACCAAAAATTACAACAACAACAACAACAAAGAAAAGTTAACTACGCTATCACATTTACCAAAACATAGTTAGACAGGCATTGTAAGATAACAGTAACAGACAAACTTTGATGAGTGCTGCTTCCTTAAGAAATATATGTGAAAAGGTGTCACTACCATTTCTCACTTCTATCTTCAATCATTGTTATCTCTTATTATTATCATTATAAATAATCGAAACAACTCAAGTTTCCACTCCTCGTCTACCTTCAAGCTTTAACACAGCAGTTGAAGCAGCTGAAGATTCCTCTCCTCGTCTGTTCCAAGTCATTTACAAGTAAGATCAAGAATGTTTCATCCCCAAAATCAATTACTATTATTATTTCTGTCAGTTTCTATGGTAGGTACACAATATAAAAGCCACACATTTTTCTCGAAATGGATTATGCTTTACTTTGATTGAAAGAATCTCAATACAACAACTATATTAAAACATAATTCGTTGTCGTAGGGTAATGTACATTTCTTCTATTTGTATTAAGAGAATTCGCACCATTTCTAATATAAACTCAAAATCTAATTTATGAAGTTTGGTGAGGTATTTATATCTACAACTAAGCAACTAACTATAGACCAAACACTGAAGGACCACATTTACCCAATTGCTAGAAATAGCCATATAATGCTTACAAAGTTAGATTCCATAACCTAACCAACCCAAGAAGGTAAGCCTCACATCAAATGAACACACACAGCCGTAATCCACGAACACAACCATCCAATTCATATAGACATAACTCAACCAAAACCTATAAATGTTTTGAGAACAGGTACACTAATAATCCACAAACAATGTGTGACTCAAATATCTAACCCTATAAAGCTACAAAGTTAGATTCCACGACCTAACCAAATTAAAAACACCTACCTACCGGTTTTCAAGACAATCAATCATCCAGATCATATACACCCCACATCAAGCAAGAATGAATGTTAAGATGGAAACTCAAGTGTAGACATAACTAAATCAAAAGCTAGAAAAACTAAAGTTTTGAAATTTGATGAATATGAGCATGATCAACAAACAATGCGTAACCCAAAAGATGGACAACAGTTAAATTCCATAACCAGACAATGGGACGGAGCAAACCCAGAACACACAACTAATCATTCAACACAGATAAACCCACAGTGAAGAAAAAATGAATCTTTAAGATAGCAGCAAAACTGAAAAGAAGTAATTGTAGTCTTACAGATGGAGAATGTGGGTGGTGGTGAGAGAAACCATTGTGGTTGCTGTTGTTGTTGTTGTCACTGTGGACAGTGGTGAGCTTAGCCTTAGTAGTATCAGAGGAAGTGGGTTGATTATGAAAAGGGTTAATGAGGTCTTCCTCGTTGCCAAGACTGGCTCGAGAAGGATCTCTCTTGTTCTGTTTCCTCATCTCTCTGATCTTTGAGAAATCCATTGAGTAATCAGGGATCGTTCCTCCTTTCTGATCCCAGTCTCCAAACTGTGGTACTGATAGCCATGGCGCGTTCTTGTTCTGCCAAACATATCTCCATTTCTCAATCACTTTGATTTCTAAGAACATAAATAAAACTAAAATCGAACAATTTTAGACACGCATAAAGGTTTTTCTTTTCCTTTAAATTCAACCCAAATTCACGATTTGCGAATTCAGATTTGATTTATCAATTCGAACTTGAATTTTAGTAAGGGAACTTGTTGAAAATTCATTAAACTAAAAAAAAACACAACTTTGATTGACTTTTCTCAAGAAGAAATTCAAAAACTGGTTGTGAAAATTCACTGTGTAAAGGGATTGATCACGCATCAGTTTTGACTTTAGTTTTTCTCCGATGAAAAAGAATTTTTTTTTAAAACTCAGCACAGGAGAATTAAGTGGTTTATAAACAACAGATGAGAAAATGGGTTTGAGAGATTTAAACCTCTTTCGGATCCTCCATATGATGAAATCTGTAGAGAGAAGAGAATCCTCCTTTTTTTTTTTTTAAGATGATCTTAAGCAGGACTATGATAAATACAGAGATGTGTATATATAAGCTAAGAAAAGTATAAAAATTTAATACAGCAAAACAACAGCTCGAATGGGTGTGATACGACCTACGCTTTACACAGCATATCATTAAGAAGATATGTATAGTTTTATTATTTTCGTTTCGAAAAAAGGCAAGCTTTTCAGGAAATTACTATAATGCCATTCTTTGCGAAGCGCACACGCTTAATCCACGTCAGCTTTGCTTTCATCCTCTTTACATTAAGAAAAAAAAAAACATAGGTTTACTGGTCTGGATTTGAAGGCCGGCAACTATTTTCCAAATCTCATGGATCATATTTCTTTAGTAGACTAAGCAAAAAATCAGTCTAAAAAATTCTACTACCTAATATTCATTTTCCATTCCTACAGAATTACTGTACTACACATACTCCACTACGACAGAAAAGCCATAATTATAGATGTATTAGTGAATCTGTGCCCACTTAATATATATTGACAGAAAAGAAAAGCCATAATTAGATATATTAGTGAATATGTGCCCACTTAATATATAACTACAAAAGTCTACAATTAGTTATAAATAAGTACGACTTTGTTTGGTCAGCTAACTGGCTATTTTATATGTACACGGCACTATACATATATATAGTCATGGAGGCGATTAACATAACTTAATGTTTTAATGTTGTGAGCCGATCACACGTTTATTTTTTTTAGAGATTTTTCAAATGTTTTAAAAAGTAAAACTATTCCGAACACATTTTCCAAACATTAAACAAAACAAGTTTGACTTATTCACAAGCAAACAAAGAGGCTCCTATGGATATTTTCATACCTTTCTATACATACGTTCGGGAGATTAGTAGCCATTTTTCAGGATTGCCGAGTAATCCAAAACACATTTGAAAAATAAAAAATAAATGATAAATACAAAACAAAATGGTGGCGTAATAACATCCACAGAGCAGCTTACGTGGCTGGTGGTGTAGTTGACACGTGGAAGATTGTGAGAAATGTCTTCTGTTCAAAGGAGTTATTGTGAACCACAAGGTGATTACTATCTCCGGATTACGCAGTGTTATCTTCAACCATCTCTTCTCCCACAACCACAAAAAAAACTTTTCTGTTTTTTTTTTCTTTTTGTAGCAAAAGATGGCACATACATAAAATTATAACTTTATCAAAAAAATGCTAATGGCGAGCTGAAAATAATAATAATCACACTGCGAACGATGATAATAGTGGAAAAATATAATGGTGTAGTCGAGGAAATGCATTTCAGTATAAGATCTATTCCGTTCATTCTATGTTTTCTTAATTTTATGATGATTAAAATTAATAATACTGGAGTACTGAATTTTCTTCATTTTATGATAACGATATGTGTATTTTTGGAATAGAAGGAAAAAAAACAAAACGAATATTAATATATCTCTTGGCTCACACTTAAACGTTAGAGAAACTCTTATCAAAGCACTCTCGAGAGAGACTTTCTTCCTCTGCTTCTTCTCCAGTAGAGCGAGATTCTCTCGCGAGAGACTGCTATTCTTCTGATAAATCCACACCCGATTATTCAAATCGCTACAAGGTTCCGTTTTTAAATCATGGGTTTATCGACGAATCTCCATAGCCTCGACCTCCGATCTACTTTCTTCACCGGTCTCCGTCCTTGCCCATCCCCAGTCACATCTAATTTCATCAAAATCTCTTCCATTTCCAACCCTAGACGCGAAATCCCCACCATCAGAGCCCAAGTCTCCACAATCAGCCTCGAGACCTCGGTGAAAGAGCGCCAAGACGACATCGAATCGCTTTTCTCCAAGCAAACCACCGAGCAAGACTCCGACCGGAAGCGAAACGGGAAGAATTCGAAAAACGGAGCTTCTGGGATTTCTTCAGGTGTGAAGCTAGAGAACATAAGGAAGAGCTACAAAGGCGTGACGGTGCTCAAGGATGTGAGCTGGGAGGTGAAAAGAGGGGAAAAAGTCGGGTTAGTGGGCGTGAACGGAGCTGGGAAGACGACTCAGCTCAGGATAATCACTGGGCAAGAAGAACCAGATTCAGGTAACGTTATCAAGGCCAAACCCAATATGAAAATCGCCTTCTTGAGCCAGGAGTTCGAGGTTTCGATGAGCAGGACGGTGAAAGAAGAGTTCATGAGCGCTTTCAAGGAAGAGATGGAGATAACTGAGAAGCTGGAGAAAGTGCAGAAGGCGATCGAAGGATCTGTCGATGATTTGGACCTTATGGGAAGGTTATTAGACGAGTTTGATTTGTTACAGAGACGAGCTCAGGCCGTGAATTTAGACACCGTCGATGCTAAGGTCAGTAAGCTGATGCCGGAGTTAGGGTTTGCTCCAGAGGATGCAGATAGGCTTGTGGCTTCGTTTAGCGGTGGATGGCAAATGAGAATGTCACTTGGAAAGATTTTGCTTCAGGTGATTGATTGATACTTATGTCCTTTCAATTTGATTGAACAGAAGCTAATGTGAATTGTGTTATTCTGTGAGTAGGATCCAGATTTGCTGCTACTTGATGAGCCTACAAACCACTTGGATCTTGATACTATTGAGTGGCTTGAAGGTTATTTGCAAAAGCAAGAGGTGCCTATGGTTATAATCTCACATGACAGAGCTTTTCTTGATCAGTTGTGTACTAAAATTGTGGAAACCGAGATGGGTGTGTCGAGGACATTCGAGGGTAACTACTCTCAGTATGTGATCTCAAAGGCAGAGTGGATCGAAACTCAGCATGCAGCTTGGGAAAAACAACAGAAAGAGATTGAATCAACAAGGGGCTTGATCGCTAGGCTTGGTGCCGGTGCAAATTCTGGTCGTGCTTCTACTGCAGAAAAGGTTAGCAAGCTGCTAAAAAAAAGAGAACTTAATTTGCAGAATCATTGACATGACTGCCTGTGGCTCGAGAAGTTCAAGCTTATAAGTTTCCCTTTTGTGTGGTTTATAACAGAAACTGGAGAGGATCCAAGAACAGGAGCAAATAGAGAAGCCATTTCAGCGGAAGCAAATGAAAATTAGGTTTCCGGAGCGTGGAACAAGTGGAAGATCGGTAGTCGCGGTTAAAAACATTGATTTTGGTTTCGAGGATAAGGTGAGTTATTAGAATGAAAGTCAAGACATTAAGATAAATCCTCTATTGCTCATGTTTGACCCTGTGAAAAACTGTGTATCTGTTGCAAACCAGATGCTATTTAAGAAGGCTAATCTAGCAATTGAAAGAGGAGAGAAAATCGCCATTATCGGCCCGAACGGGTGCGGGAAAAGTACTTTATTGAAGCTAATTATGGGTTTAGAAAAGCCTACGAAAGGTGAAGTTATTCTTGGAGAGCACAATGTACTGCCAAACTACTTTGAACAGAATCAGGTGTGTTTCAGTGGCTCTGGCTGAACGATTGGGATAGGTTCTGTCACTTTATTGACATGGTTTTGGTTTTTTGCTAGGCCGAGGTTCTTGATTTGGATAAAACAGTGCTTGAAACAGTTTGTGAAGCTGCAGAAGACTGGAGAAGTGATGATATAAAAGGCCTTCTTGGACGTTGCAACTTCAAAGCTGACATGCTTGATCGAAAGGTCTCTCTTTTAAGCGGTGGTGAGAAAGCACGCCTTGCTTTCTGCAAGTTTATGGTTACGCCATCTACTCTTCTCGTTTTGGATGAACCAACCAATCATTTAGATATTCCTTCAAAAGAAATGCTCGAGGTTCAGTTTCGACTCTTTCTTGGAATCTTTGGATACAATTATAATATAACCGTTCGTGGACTTGGAGGAAAGAGGCTAATTTTCTGGTTCTTATTTTGAATCAGGAAGCGATAAACGAGTACCAAGGTACAGTCATCGCAGTCTCCCACGATAGATACTTCATCAAACAAATCGTTAACAGAGTCATAGAAGTCGAAGATGGTTGTTTAGAAGATTACGCAGGCGACTACAATGTACATTTCGAATTACATTCTCTTCTCAGCCAGTATAGTTTGATCTATGAGAAGTCTCAGTTTTAATTTTTTGCATGTTTGAATTCTGCCTCAGTATTACTTGGAGAAGAATCTGGACGCTAGAGCAAAGGAGCTAGAGAGAGAAGCAGAGCTTGAAGAGAAAGCTCCAAAAGTGAAGGCAAAGTCAAAGATGTCAAAAGCTGAGAAAGAAGCAAGGAAGAAGCAGAAGATGCAAGCGTTCCAACAGGCTAAACAGAAATCAAAGGCCAGCAAGAATTCCAAGAGATGGAATTGAAAAAACGAAAACTGAAAGGAGTCAGATTTATAAAGTCTTCTTACAGTCAGTCACAAGATCTTTTACTGTGGAATGTATATAGATACTTTTAGAAAATGCAGAGTATTAATGTTTCTAAACACTTGAGCCCCATTGGGTAAATTAAGAAACTTTATTGTCTCAAAAATTGGATTAGAGGCTGCTGATAGTGATGTGAATCAAGTTCTCTCTTATCTTTCTTTTGTGAACCTAACCAAACCGAGCCGAACCGAAAGTGTGTTTTTCAATCGAGTCAATTAAACCATCTGATGGTAAACAAAATTCGGTTATCTCATAACCCTAACCGGGTTCAACCTTCTCGTCATCCTCAGTCTTGTCTGAACCTTTTCAATCAGCCAAGGTGGAATTTGGTAAACACCGACTTGGAGTTCGACACTACGAATGTTCAAAAGCTTTGTAGGAGTTAATTTAACCGAGATTTCTTTTCTGCTTTGGTTGGATAACTGTAAGCATGGTCGGAATTCTTCTGGGCTTGCCTGGGGATTGGGCAGAAGACGAGCTTGAGTCTTCTGATCACTACACAACAAAAATCGGCGGTCTTCCGGTAAATCCCTTATCGTCTCTCTGTTCATCCTTTTTTCACAGAAAAATTCGATTCTTTCCTTCTGGGTTTTGATCGTATGTTGATTTTAGGATTGGCCTCCATTGCCTGATCATACACTGAGACCGGAAATTCTCAACTGTTGTTCATGTGGAAGTAGACTTTCTCTTGTAGCTCAGGTTCTTCGTCCGTGTACCAAAAGTCTTTACTTTTTTTTTTTTCGTTTTTAATGTTTAAGAACCTGGAAGTTTTCATGGATTTGGATTTTCAGGTATATATAAATGACGTTTTCTTTCTCTGTATTTAGGTGTATGCTCCAATCTCAACAGAAAATTCGGACATCAAAGAGCGTACGCTCTATATATTTTGTTGCTTGATGCCTAAATGTGGAACTTCTGAGCAAAGGTTTTGTCTTTTTTTTTTTCCCTTCTGATTCTCTGATACACTTGTCAAACCATTGCCTATTTTCTGGTTATGTTAGAATGATCATCAAGGTGTGAATTTATCCCTTAAAATGTTCAGCTGGAGAGCTTTTAGCGTTCAGAAAGCTATGCAAGTGAAAGAATCAAGTGAGATAGCGGATTTGTCTGTGGCCTCGCCTCCGGATACAACTTCTAAAACTGATTGGTTAGACGAAGAAGACGGTGATGATGATGAAGATTTTGATCTGGAGAGTTTAGCTAAAGCGATCGCAGAAGCTGGTACCTCTGCTGCTTCCAATTCGAAGAAACAGAGCAAGAAACCAAGTGGCAATGCTAGTTCAGGGACTAAAGCAAAGCCTTCACCTTTAAAATCCGAAACAAGAGTTGTGGATCAAATGAAAGTTGAGACTGGTGTGGTGGTTCCGTGCTTCTACATTTATACAAAGGAAGAGAACGTCTCAAAAGATGTTGATCGTTTCTCCATGAATTATTCGTCCATGTCCATCAAGGAGAAAGAAACCAGCAACGGTGATGAGAGTGAAACCGAAGAAGCCTGGGAGAATGAGACATATGAATATGACAAAGCCTTGAATGCAGATAGGACTTACCTTAAGTTCAAAAAACGGCTAGATGCAAACCCGGAACAATGTTTCAGGTACAAATTGTAATTCGCTCGTATCTATCAAGATCTTCCTGAACTGTTTGAACATTTGTTCTAATTTTCAAAACGCAACCTTTGCTTTATGTAAACTTATTCTATGGCCAGATACTCATATGGCGGTAAACCGGTGCTGGCCACTGAAGACCTGAAATCTCCTGATAAATGCGGGCATTGTGACTCTCCAATGATCTTCGAGATGCAGCTCATGCCTCCGTTAATATATTTTCTACATGAAGGTGTTGTTGATAAAGAGCTTAAGCAATCATTGGATAACTGGGATTGGATGACACTTATTGTTTACACTTGTTCCAAGGTATTATTCTTATAGGATCTTCTCATATATTCCAATGATTTAAGTAAAATCTTCAAAAAAGCATCTTCTTCTTTTTTTCAAATTTTTTTTTTTTTTTTAAGCTAAATGTTACTGTTTGTAGAGCTGTGCAAATGCGGTGAATGATAATTGGGTTGTTGCTGAGGAGTGTATCGCAGTACAGTATGAGAAACCGATGAATCTTGATCAAGCTAGCTTCTTCAAATGAAGCGAATCAGTTGATTGGCTGAGAAGATGTTGCTGAAGTGACTATAGCTTAAAATGTGGACGAAAAAAGTCTGATTTTGATCAAGAAGTCAAATGCGCCACGGAAATATCTTCTCCAACTGTTGCAGGACAGAAGTTCCCAGGAAGAGGGAGCTGCTAAAAAAAGACTTTTTTATAGTTTATCTGTCTATTTATATGCGAGGCAGAATAATTGTTATTTTTCTTTGTAAAAAAATGTTTAGTTTTATGTAATGTTTTAATTGAAAAAAAGAAGATACTTTTATTGGATCATTTTCGATTTAATTCTCTTTTAAGTTAATCTAAGTGTCACGCAAGAATCGTTCAAACCAAAAAATGTGCTCTGCTTCTATTGATGCGAGAAACATGGCGCCAACTTTCTCTCATCTCTCTCTATTCTATCATTTCCGTTTGGCCCCTTTCTTGATTTCTCTGGAGCTTTTTAACTAATACATAGACATGAATGAATCAAGAAGAATCAGATTCGGTTCCTCAATCTTCTTCGTCATCATCATCCTGATCTTTGGGGCCCGGATTTTAGGGATATCTGCAGATGGAGCGGAAGATGATGGTATCGCCAAGAAAGAAGAGAATCCGTCACTTGTAAAGATCATATGTGGGATTTTTGGCAAGAGATTTCCTCCAAGTTCTTGGGAATTGATTCAAGGTGTAATGCAGAAGATCCAGATGAAGCTTTATCCTCCAAATCTAGAGTAAACAAACGAGCATTCATATACTATAAGCATATTCTTGGGTTTTCGCCAAAGACCCAGTTTTCTAGCTCATGTGTGTGTTGTTTTGTTGTGACAGTTTCAGAAGCAACAGCGACAAAAGCAATAGCGAGGAGGAAGGAGAAGATAGAGGAGAGAAAGTGAAAGAGGCGGCGACAAGGAGTCTCGAAGTTAGCAAAGAAGCCATTGAAGAGTCTGCAAAACTAGCAGGAGATGTTGTAGGAGAAGTAGTTCACAAAACAGCTGAGAAAGTTACCAAACACACCTCACATGATGAAATGTAATGTAATCCACTAAGATTGCTCATAATGTTATATAAAAATTCAGATCCAACAACCATTTCCATTTCAAAAGAAATCAAATCATACATTTCAGACTCTCAAGCTTAAAGAACACTAAGAGAGATTCGATATTCTTATCATTTCAAGAAGAGCGAGAAGAAGTAGAGAGCTTAAGACACTCACTTTGACATCTTCTAAGACAGATGTCATTCCAATTAGCAACTTGATGCTGGTTCACGCAGACGGTTCGAGCACAAGCATCAGAGCAAGCGTCGAGCTCAGATACGCCACAGACAGTGACACAAGTGTCGGGAATGGGATCCTTAGAGAAAGCTCCAACTTTTTTCAGCATTCTTTTTGAAACGCAAACTCTTTCGCAGACAAAGATTTCATCAGAGCTTTTCTCTCTTCCTCGAGCACTCTTGATCCTCTCTTCTTCGCCATGTCTCTTCTTTATCCTCAATGCTTGACCTGCAATTAGCGCAGGCACTGCTGCTGCTAATAGTGGCCACCACGCTTCCACCATTTTCTTCTTATCGACTTAAAATTTTTCACACTGCGCATCACAGCAATTAATCAAAGAACACAAGTTAAAGAAAAGCTTAGTCTTTTTTTCAGCAAGATTATAATCTGATATCTTCGTAATTTAAAAAATTAAAAATCCAAGCTTTGGTCTGAGGAAAATCAGTTATCAATCTGAAGCAAATGGTAATCAGTTACCCAATGTACAATTTAGAAATATATATATATGGAAATCAATCGAAATCGAAATTGCAATCGAAATGGTACAGATTTAACAAGTTACTGATACGCGAAGTCTCACAGTTCCCAGGGTTTAGGGCTTTTGCACGAGGAGAGGGAGAGAGATATAGAGAAATTAGGGTTTTTTTTCAGCTGATTGTAGCAACAGAAAACCCAGCGGGATCAAAAAGAAGAAAATTTCAGGGAAAGGAATTCGAGGGCACAAAGTCACATACCTTCCTTCGTTGTCTTTTTTCGGTGCTATGAAGGTTGTCCTAACTCTCTAGCTCTATCTCCGTTCAAGAATCTACGGAATATTTCAAATTGATATATCAATAATATTTATATATACCAAAAAGTGGAAAAAAATAAAAAAATTTCACTTGCGGTAAACAAAAAAAAAATCTTTTACAATGAAACAGACGCAGATAGTTAGACTGGAAACAATGGTTGTATTTCATTCATGTCCAGATTTTCTATATCTCTTGTTAACAATGATATGATATCGAAAGTTGCCTATAATGAAGTTTCATTCAGACGGAAAAAAAAATTAGATTGTAAATTCAACTTATCTATCAAGAAACAATATGATGATTTGGAATGATTCACAGTTTTTATTCCGTTTGAAACAGTAATACATGATTGATAACCGAAAGAAGAACATTCAAAGAATTTTGCTATAAGAAGAATCCAAAGAGTGGAATCCAAAGTGTGGAATTTACACACATATTCACTTTACCACCTACAAACCCGAAAGAACGAAGAAGACCAATAGGAAAAATCAAAATAAAAGAATAATAGATCCAAAAGCAACATAGATTCATAAAAGCATTCTTGGAACGATAAGAGATTTCAAACGTTGATATCCATTCGCTTCGATCTGGCACTGCCATTGTTGGTTGTTTCTTGAACGCTCGAAAGAGAGAATCTCGGGAGAGGGTAGATATCAGGAGTAGACACCGGTTGCTGCGGATAGAGCGTAGGAGGCGGAGTTAGGTTTCGTTGCGCCGGAAGTGGCGGCAACGCGTTGTTGTACTTGTAAGGATCTCCTCCATGTAAACTGCAACAATCGTAAAGACCAAATGAAGAAACCCGACAAGAGAAACATTGTCTTTTCGCATTGTTGTTACCTTGTTCGCTTGTAAAATTGATCGTCATCACTTGTGATGTCGTCTAACCGTTGGGATGATGATGTTGGAACCGGAGAAATAGACCACGGTGAAGCTGCTGGCAGTTCATCTGAGAAGTATCTTCGTCTTATCAACTGTTATAAAAAAAAAACCACAAAATGGTTATATCGGTTTAGAGAAGGTTACTTTGGAGATGTAACCAGAAAGAAAAGTGTGTGTTTAATGGCACTAACCATCCGGAAAAATTTGTTCAAAGCTTCCTTATCGTATCTGGTTTCTTTAGCGGCCTGTACAAAACCCCCGCACCAGATCATGTAAATCAAAAGCAAACAGTAAATTCTATTAATAGTGATTAGTCTATATGGTTACTTACCGCTATGAGACCGCCATTACCAGGGAAGCTTTCAAAGAGAGGAAGTTCTTCACTTGAGGAGAGCAAACCTTGCCTCTCGACCCAATGACGAGCTACGTCAACAAGATTTCCACTGCTTCCTTTTGTTCCTTCTTTTGCAGCAATATCTGCTTTGTTGCCAACAACAATGTATGGAACAGGAAGACCACCAGGACCTCCCGAGGGAAGAGGAGCTGAAAAGGTTCCAGTCGCTGCAACCTCAGACGCCCATTTCTGCAAACTTGTTTTTGTTCTTCTTTGAGAGAGATCATGAACGAATATAACTCCTGCAAAAGGTTTAAATCTCGCCTTAAAACATTGTTTCAGAACACACTAAGTAAGGAGGAATAACATGGACATATAAGTTAGGAGAGACCATTGATTTGTGAATAGAACAGTGAGCGGCAATCTTTGTATCGCTCATGCCCTGATACATCCCAGAGTTCAACAAAGAAATCCCTCTCTGAGTCTCCTTGAATGCTACTGGAAGAACTAGCTGGACTCCCGTAAGTTATATGCTACACAGTGGGAAAGTAGGAGAAAAATAAAGGGGTTCAAAACTTCAGCTCTCTAACAATTTAAAGAACATTTGAGACGGTTATAAGTTACCTTAACACCAACTGTGCATCCAATCGTTTGAGATGGGCGAACAATAGAAGAACCTTTGTTGATGAGGTGTACAAGTGATGTTTTTCCCACACCTAACAAAAAGTTTTTAAAATTCAAAAATGAAGATTAAATCGAATTACTCAATGAAACGGAGTATGAATTTCACACATTTGGGCTCAAGACAAGATTGACATCTGCCATGACTCATGAGCAAAAGCAGACACAGCAAGTAACAGACTCTAAGGAAAACATTGTTCACTTAAGTTACTAGACTCTCAGGTTTGAAATGAATGATATAGCTCAACGACCACAGAACCATTAACTCCTAACCAAATGATCCGATTCAATGCAGAGGATCTATCGTCCCGAGTCACACATGATCAGTTATAGCACAAGGACCCCTGTGTATTAAACAATCTGAGCATCCTATAAAACCCAATTCAACAGAATCTACATGAAAGTAGAACTTGTAATTACCTGAATCACCAACTACTAGTACTCGAACTTGCCCACATAATGGCGCTAAGATCTGCTCTTTACTTTCTCTCTCACGTTCCCTCCAAAACTTCATTTTTTTGCTTAATCACTAGCAAAACCAGATTAGGTAGAAAACAAAACCCACACTTCTTCAATCAAGTTCCAGAGTCCCGATCCCAATCGAAAACCAGAAGAAACAACTCCTCATAGCAACCTCTGATTCCTCACAAAGGAATGATTTTTTATGATTCAATCACCTTGACATAACCGAAGCAATAGCACAATCCCCAGAACGCTGATTCTTCACCTTTCTAGTCCAAGAAATCTATGGGATCAATACTAAAGGTCACCAAAATCGATCGAGGGAAGCAGCGGATCTACGGATGCAACCGAGTATTTCGGATCAATTACCAAAAAGAATCAAGCTTCTTCAAACAAATCTCTCCTCCACCAAAATCATCAAGTAGGGTTCGTCTTCTTCCTCGAATAAATCTGGAATACAAATTATTTCTTCGAGGTGTTCTAGAATTCAAAAACGAAGATACACAAAGTAAGGTGAATCTGGATCGAGATCAAGAGATCCAGACTCGTATGGGGTTTCCTTCGAAATTACTAAAAAGTATAGTGTTTGAGATTTGGGCGGAAGAACAAATGAAACGACTTCCTTTCCTGCGTAAGTTGTTAAAAGGTAGAAGATGAAATCGGTTCGGTGCAAAAACACCAAAACCGAATCATAAAATCAAACCGATCAAAATCCATTTTTAACCAAACCACCGGTGACGGTTGAACCGAAACAGTTAACCTGGCACACAGGCTTTTATCTGATCTTATTTTTTTTACCCTTTTCCTTTCCGGTATCTGAGAAACTGAGATGACCAAAAACAATCGAGTAATTTAAGATAATTAATTATTAGAGTTACTCAAACATAAAACATGTACGTACACTGTTAATTTCTGTAGTCATGATAAATACACAATTTATTGGTTAGCCAGTAAAATTTTGGTCACAAAATATTGAAACCAGACTAGTGACGAACTAATGATCAGATAATTAATGTATATTGCGCGTAATCAAGTGGATTCTTAATCAAAACATATGGCCAGTTCTTACAACTTACGGATACTTGGGTTGATTTGTATCCGTTAACTCAATTTTGTATGAATATATTGTATCCATCAACTCTACCATCCGAAAAAAAAACCATCGATACATTTTAATATTTATAACTATATATTCACAATCTCGTGGTTGGACTCACTATAATACTGCAAAATCGCAATTATACACTAATATTGATATCTAGATAACTACAAAGAGTTTCGTAATCATATACATAAATCAAAACAATTCTAACGGAGAAATAATTGACTTCTTTATTGTACCTATAAAATTACACAAGGCGATGCATTGATATAGTATTGATGGTAAGTATCTAATGATTAATCTCAAGATGGAGGAGATATTTGGATAGATTGAAGAAGAGAGTGCTGGTTCCAATTGTCGTGATCGTAAGACAAAACCATGTCGTTGTAATAGACATGTGAGGGACTCTCGTGGTTATGGACTCCTTCATAGGTTGTAATCACATAAGCTGCATCTTCACCATCTCTCTCTACTCTCTTCTTCACCATACAACCGTCACTTGAGCATTTGTAGTAATTCCTACATACATATTTACATTCATTAACCATTTATTAAATTTAATTCATTATTATATATCCAATAAACTATATAACCGAAGGATCCTAATTCGAATTCGAGACTGATCTCCAAAATATGTATCTAATATATGTGTGAGCGATATTTGTTGTTGTTTCTTCGAATTCTTCTATGATATATGAATCAAAGTAAGATATATATGATGAATAATAATCACCCATGGATTAGTCAATTCACCACTAATCATAATGCTATGTATGTATATATATATATATATAACAAACACATACACACAAATTCATATGGAATCTGTATTTTAATTAATCCAAGTGGGTTGGTAGATAATACGGGCCATTAAACAGTATTTAAATCACTACATGATCTAGTTAGTGGCTATTCTATAACATTAGAATACTAGATGATTATAAAAATTGCTCAAGCAACCACATATATGTTAGTTAGTTAAAGAAAGAAAAAAAAAATGATTACGATATAATAAATCAACAATCAAATGAAATGAGTAATTAAAATTTTGAACTAATTGATTACCTCTTGTTAGTGTTGTTCTTGACAGATTTCTTTCCATACTTCCTCCATTTATAACCATCATCCATCACATCAATCTTTGATCTCGTTCTAAATGCAACTCTGTGACCCATCTCCTTCGTCTCACCATCTTTACTTCCCCTACTTTTGCAATCGAAGCTATTTAATTATAAAAAAAGGTCATTATAGAATAATACAATTTATATTTAGTGTTTGTTTAAGAATCTAGCTAGCAAACAAATATAGCTAAAACTCACGTTGATTCCTTTTTACTCAACGTCGTTGTTGCGCTGCCGGATCCGCCGCTTTCACCGGTAAATGTCTCTGACGAAACGATGCTCGTCGGAGATGAAGTTTCGTCATGGAATAATCCAAGAGTGTTGCATCCTTCATCAACATCGAACATCAGATTGGAGAAATCAAAATTATCCATAAAAGGATTAGTAAAGTTTTCATCGGAGAAGAACGTGAAATTAGGGCTAGGGTTTTCAGAGAGATTCATCTTTTCTTCTTTTACAATAAGGAAAAAAAAAACTGAGAGGGAGAGAGAGAGAGATCTTAAAGCATCTAAGAACTAGTAGAGCAAGTGAAGAAGGGGAGACAAAGAGATAAATGGTCTTTTTTATATATATAAATATAAATATATCTTATTATGTACGAAGTTTTTTAAGTTTTGTAAAGAAGATGATAATTAAGAGAGAAGATAAGATTAGTGAACATATGCTATAGCAATTTCAGGGTAGATACTAGGAAGGTGCTTCAACGCCACGTGTGAAAGAAGAGGACGATGACGTCATCATAATGACGTAAGGACAGACGATATAGAGTGGTGAAAAGTGAGCTTCCACATACTTAAAGTAATCAGTCAGTTTTTTGGGGCTTCTAGAGCTATTATCGTCTACGTTAGCGTTTAGTGTTCGGCTCGGTAACGTGAATATTTGGATTTTGGTTTCTAGATCGACGGCTGCGGATTTAAGTTTGTTAAATGTTTGCTTCTGCTGCGTTTGAAGCAGACAGGACTTTCTTTCTGTACTTTACAGTGTACACTAAGACAAATCAGATTTGACTTATTTTAATTCTGAAAAATGTATTTATACCTTTTTTTAGAGATCAACTTTATCGTTTTTGTTTGGCCTAACTTTAGCAAATTGTTGATAAAATTTAATAAAAACAAACAATAACTTTGGTTATCCGGTCTGATGTTTTTATGCATGTCGATATGTGGATTGACTGTTTAATGATACGTAATATTTGACTAAATTTGATCCGGTTTTACCATAAGTTGTTCTATAAATCAGTATAAAACATATCAATATGTTTACAAAATCATTTTTTTTTTTAAAACTTCAGTTTTGATAGGTAGCCTACTGCCTATATCTAACTACGAGTTAGTTTCTTATTGTCCACAGATTTTTTTTTTCTATTTATTCGTTTTTTTCCTTCCAAAATTTCTGGCACATAGCAATGTATCAAGAATATATATTATTATTAAACCCACTGACATATGTATACATATGATCAAAAAATCGCAAGTCTATTCCTCAGTCAACGATTCAAAATGGTCTTCTAATCTTGTCTTTAAAGTTAGACGAAATTTCTTGGTGCCACAGTTAATTGTTTTTGTCAACACAATTATTATGGCTCTTTTGCTCTTTAATAATATGCGATGCTAAAATTCATACAGAAAAAAAACATAAATCAGAAAAAAAATTATAATTGTACAGAGATTGTAAAATACCAATTTTTATGAAACTAGCTAGAAAGTATCTATAAAACATAAATATTACTTTAAATCAGAAAAAAGTTTAGGATTTGTTAGTCAAAGCTTTTAGTTCATTTTAGTTGAGAGGAGCGTAAGTAGGAAAGTCGGATAGTCGATTCAGGGATAGTGAGACACCACTATGGATTAGCATTCATGCATCATAGATCAAGAAAAGGTTTCTTGGAAAAATTATCAGTATCAGTATGATTCATACTGACTTTAAACTATTTTCTTAGAACTCGGATTAAAAAATTTCATCTCAACAAAATAGAGTTCGAGTTAAGTTATTTGACTTTTTCTCATAAAAAATTCAACGACATTTTTTCAACTCCATGGTATATTCTCGTCATAATGGTCCAGCAAAATTTAAATTATAAAAAAACACTCCTACCTGCCTCACAAATAATTTCCAACCCAACCTCAGAAGTCCAACGAGGAATGAAAGTTGAACATATATATTTGCACAAGATGCCTTTCTCTTTAAAAACTAATACTAATCTGAAAATCAAACTAACATATATATACACCAAACGAACAATTTGTGAAGTCCAAGTATGTTTTGGATCTCTCTCTACCTGTTGTGCAAAGGATTTGGACCTGCGGGGATAAATCTCTTCTCTTCTTCTTCTTCGTTGCCATCGATCTTTCTCCCAACTTTAGACGATCTTCGTCTGAATTTATTAAACTCGTGATGATTCTTGTAATATTGTAATCGAGCAACGACACTCAAATTATGTTTTCTTTTTGTAGAGATGAATCTTCCATCTAGGATCGAACTTGAACGCGACAAAATGATTAAAACTAAGATTGTGAATATTACAGTGATTACAACATCTCGTTTCATTGCATATCGTGAAGACAAAATCACCATATTTATAAAATAAAATTTAAATAAAAAAAGCTTGATGAAGATCTTTCCCAAATCTTGACTACTCTTCTTCTTCTTTCTCTATCTCTCTTCGCTTCTATTGTTAAAGACCTAAGAGATTAAGTAAAAGTAGAAGAAGAAGAAGTAAAGAGGAATAAGGAGAGAAGAAGTAGAATGGTCAGCAGAAGCATTCATTACATTAAATCTGGCAGTGATATGACTACACAATTATCATAACTTATTTGTGTATTAACAAATTAGAAATTATCATAGATTTCTTTTTTATATGTACTTCTAATCAGTATCGTTCTACAGACTCATTCGCTTCCAATCGGTCTACAGTATCAATAATATAAACTCAGCAAACTGTTCGGCTTGACAAATCCCAACAATTCCAATCGCATCTACTATTTTTAATGCAATAATAGACCTTTAGAAAAGTTGATTATGTGATCATGTATGTAAACAAAATTACGTAAAATGTATAGCTAATGTTGTTAATATATATAAAACAAATTATTTAAAAAGGAGTAAAAATTGAAAGATATGAAAGCATTGGGGCATAGGAGTATATATCTATGGACATCATTGGAAATAGCATTTACTACTCTCACCAACCAGCATTTATCTTCATGTCCAAGTCTTAATTCCATTATATGTCACAAAGCCTGCAACTTATTTAATTATATCTAAAACGTAATGGCATGGGTGTAAGAATCTATTAAGTATGATTGAATAAGTAAATAAAATTATATGTAACAGTGAAATCGAAGAAAAATATATTTTGTATTATTATGAAATTTGTGAAGCGACGATATTATTGCACAATAGTCTTGACTCTTGAGTGATAAATTCAAACTCAAATTCAAATGGGAAAATAACTCAGTAAACGAGTATATGATTTAATTATATATATATATATATATATATCGATCTATAAAACACATAGAAACCAACTACTTTTTCTCAAATGTTATTTAACGAACAACACAAAACATAGAATAGAATCAATTCCCCCAAAAGTGCCCCCAAAAAAAAACAATTTATATAGCCGTGACTAGTCCAAGAAGAACAAGTCCGACGACAATGAACCTTCCGAAGACAAAGCTGATCCTGAAATCGTCACTTGCACTAACAATCTGAACAGGGAACAAGCAACTTCCCACGGATGCATTGTTCTTAGTAATCATAGCTGCTCCTTTGAAATCACAAGCCCTAACGTCTTGGCCCTGAATCTGGAAATACATATTAAATGCGTATGATATGTTTTGGATTTTGTCTAGCTTACTACATGTTGACCCGCCCTCCATCGCGGTGCAGTCACCGTGGTAACACGCGTAGTCTAGGTCCGGACCAACTTCCTCTAGATTGATTGTGTCTTTGTTCACCACGCACCATTGTTTATCCATGTATTGCACACCTTTCGCTCCCACGGGCACGATCTTGCGTCCTTGTCCCGTGAAATCTAGCATAAACTTTGGCGTCCCATCGTATCTGTTGGAAAAACATATGAACATGACAATGTCAGATATATAGTTGAATGTGATTCACAATATAATAACAAAGCGTTTTAAAAGCAAAATTTGTGAAAAAGAAATATTGTTTTAATATAAGGAGAAAAGTGGTTTACCTAAAGATTCCCCAATGTCTCTCGAAGGGTCCAGGAAGAATACTCTTCATGTCTTCGTCGAGTAAACCGAAGAGATAAACTTCTAATCTTTCAGGTCTCAAAGGAGTCCCACCATCCTTGGCGAGTCTTTTCATTAGCCCTGCATAGAATTTCTCAGCTAGCTTCGGCGTCGCATATTTATGACCATCCGTTGGCCATCCAACCTATAAATATATAAAAAAATAACCAACTTCAATAAACGATTAAATCAACATTCTTGAGATCCCTATACAAACCTAATAATCAATAACTTGCTTATCAAGTCACCTCCCCAACGATAATCTTCATATCTTTAATCCCAGCTTTCCTCAACGCGTAAACTAGCGTGTCGTAATTCGCATCAAACACGTTATCGTAATTCTTTCCATTATCAGGAATCGTCTGACCATCACCGTCGAGAAAAGCGAACTCGAAGGGAAAATGTTGGTTTAGGTAAAGACTAAGGAAAGGGTAAATGTTGACGGTGAAAGGTAAATCGTTATCTTTGAAGAACTTGACGATGTCGAGCATTGTTTGCTTCACGTCGCTGCGGAAATCTCCTTCTGATGGCTTATCGTTGGCTGATTGGTAAACTTCAGCGTTTTGTGGGATCGTGGCTTTCATTTTATCGGTGTGTCCAGCTTCTTTCAACGCCCTGTGAATGTTCTTCAACGCTGGAAACGTTGTTTTCAAGAACGATCCGTTGTATGCTGACAAGAACGGCTCGTTCCCCACGGCCACGTACCTAGATATATATATATATATATGTATATATGATTTTAAACAATAAAAAGAAAATAAAACATTACATATAAAAAAGACATCAATCACATCATAAACAGCGAAACTGATCTCCAAATCCGCATTTTTTAAATCAATATGATAACAAAATACGATTATTTGGTTAAAGTCATTGTCTTGTGATCTTGTGTAGACGTATTTTAAATGATAATTAGAAAGAAAAAAGTTTTGAGGGTTACTTGATGTTGACGCCATCCTTACGCATGTAAGCCGTGATATTTTCTTTGACCCAATCTTTAGCATTATCGTAATCTTCGGCTAGAGTTTCTAGAAGGTTATTAGGGATTCCGACCATAACCTCCATGCCCGTACCGGCCAAAGCATTCATCGTCCATGAATCGGCGTCAAAAAGCTTCACCTTATTGATCTTATTGTCCTTAAGCATCCTAACAACAATGTCAGGGTTCAACGGATGCGATGCGATGTTTCCCCAATTCACACCGAAGCCTCCGACCAAACTAGCCAGGGTCAAAACGGTCATTACAACCGTTCCGACATTAACGAGCATCGCTGCTCTTCCGGCCATATTGAGAAGGCGACGATGAATGAGTTTGCGTTTGTTTGATCTCCAAGATGTGTTTTACTTTTTTTTGTTGTTGTGTTTTTTTCTTTTACAGTCGGTGAATTTCCTTTTCGTGTCTTTCGGTGGTCGTTGTTATTGTAATAAGAATGTTTTAGGTTGTTGTTACTGAGAAGTTTTAGCTTAAAATAAATTTCTATTTTTAGGAAGAATCACGAGTTATTATAGGTGTGTGTTTTTCGGACATTTGGAATCCGTTAGTAATTTTTTTTTTTTGGGTTAAGAGAGTATATCGCTGGATAAATTGGGTCGAACTTTACATATTAAATAACATTATTTTTTTTTAATGCAGGCCAAAAGTGAGACCCCCAAAAAAAGAAAAAAAGTGTGACCCCAGAGAGATGCAATTAAAAAAAGATGTAGGGCCCATTAAGTAGCATGATATCCACGTGGCAGAATATCAACAGAGTAAACGCCACAAGTCTCTCTTCTTCTTCTTCTTCTTCTTCTTCTTCTACTTTCCCTCACCAACAATCCTTCTCTTCTTTACCCTTTTCGCACCAAAATTTTGAGTCTCAAATCCCTAATTACAAATTGAAAGAACCTCGAAAATCTAGGGCTCTGATTCCTTCGTTCGGACTCCAATGGCGAAGAAGCGAAAATCCGAGGCCACGCGGCTCGATGAGGTTGATCGAACCATGTACGGCGCTTTTCGAGGTGCTGCTAATTCGCTATCTCAGCTCTATACCCATGCCATGAACCACCAACGCGCTTCTTTCCTCGCCGGTGAACGTCGCGGATTGGTTTGTTCTCTCTTTTATCCTTATTCCTATTTCTCCTTTCGAATTTGGTTTCTGGGTTCGAAAGATAGGAGCTTTTCTTTGTTCTTTGATTACCTCGAAATGATGGCTTATGGTTGGAATTCTTAATAAGATTGTTGAGTTATTATATACTGAAATTCAATATTGGGTCAAAGTGAGAACTTTTGTTTGCCCTGCTATGGTCTTTTTGGTTTGCTTTACTGATGATGGGTCAAAGTGAGAAATGATGGCTTATGGTTGGAATTTTTGATGTAGCTAGTCTGGATATAAAGCTAAGCAGTCTTACTGGTACAAAGTTGTGGCCTTTTGAGTTTTGATCTTCAAGTGCCTACTTTAGTATTTACTCTAGCTAAGGTTTTTGAACAACTAGTTTCTTTAAGTTGTGATTGCTGTTCCCTTTTGGTGGTACCTTGTTCTTGGCTTGATTCAGTTAAGGTTTCAGGACTGTTGTAGTTTACTGTCACATATCACGAGGTTTTTTAGTTTTTTAATGGTTCCAGTGAATTCGAGTTTTCTTCTGTTAACAGGAGAAACTTTACCAATGGATTGTTGGACAAGAAGAAGAAGGAACTAGAGTATCGATAGATGATATTACTACCTACTTACAGGTTCTTTCCTTTGAAACAGTATCTGGTTTGTGATTATGCTTTGTACACGAACTTCGAGCCCAAGCTAATATAATTGGTATTCAGATTGATTATATCCGCTCATGAATCTACCCTTGTGTGATTAGCTTCGCGTACAAGCTCAGAGATCTCAAATTTTGATCTGAAAGTTAATACGTATTTCCTCTGTTAAAACTTTTATGCAGAATGAGCTTGAATCTGAGCCTGAGGAGACATCGATACCACTCCCCATGCAAGAGTTTCATCAGCACCACCAATTTGCTTCACCAAACGTAATTACTTCGGCAGCTCAAATTCCTTCAAGTCACACATCACAACACTATGATTATAACCAAGAGAAAGTCTTGATTCCACCAAATGGTCTCTCAAGCCCGGTTCGAAGAACCCTTCAGGAATTCAACTTGTGTGAGGCCGAGTCTGGTAACCGCAATCCAAACTCTACAGGTCATGAGTTATCTTACTGAAATCTTGTTTCAATATGGTAACAATGAAAACAAAAATCCCGTTGTAAAGTCTCAATTGTTAATGGTAAAGTATTGGCTCATGTAATACACAAACGATTTTTTTAATCTTTGAAAGACATTGTAGGGATTTGAAATTGACCCATTTGATAGATAAAATCACTGATAGCTATTTTGTCGAGAGGCGATTTGATCATTTCATGTCTTGTCTAAAGCTCTCAAGACTTGAATGTAGACTTGTTAACAGTGATGAAAGAGAGACAAAGACTGATTATCAAATGGGACCAAGCCTTACATGTGCTCTCATGGTCCCTCTCTTCTGTTCAACTTGTCTGCAAAAACATTGCTTTGATGTCGATCTCTACTAGCTACGTGTTTCCATGTAAACCTGATAAGTTCTTTGAAAATCTGTGGGGGATAGATGAAAACAAAAATTTACATAAACACGCTTCTTCCTTTGGTCATGACTTTCTCTGTACTAACAAAACATTCATCAGCAGGTGTTGTCTAGAGATTGTCACTGGTTCTTTGTACATCAGTACATGACATTTTGGTTGATTTCTTCTATTTTCTGGACTTTTCTCTTCTTCTTTTTTTATTCAAACGTAAAACTCTAGTCAACCCATGTAGCTAATCATATGAAACGGCTGATATAAAATTAAAAAGTCTTAGAAACTACTTGTCACCGAGAACTTTTAAATAATTAGGTCCACAAATAATAATATCAGGTCATAGATCCATTTATTTCATGGGGTAGAAATCAGGAACGAATCATAATATCAACAAAAAAAAGTTCAAACTTTTAATTATGCCCATGCATCTCATCGACCAAATCGGATCACAATATTCACTAGAATTGTCAATTGTTCAACTAACACAGTATCATTTGGATCTAGCAAATTAATAATTTTATTGAGTGAAAATATAAAATTATGTATCATATTTCAATCACGTGGAATTATAATGACAATGAAAAAATCAAAATTTGGATGATTGTTTTTAAAATAAATGGAGAAAGAAAGTAGACCAAGTCTTGTCGGAATTTTTTATAGTTGAAGAAATTGAATTGTAATAATGAATGGCTAATTGGGAAACACATGACTCTACAAACTTTACGTCCTTTTTGCCATATTTAAACACTCTCTCTATATATGTCCCCGACCCCCACTTGACTCCAATCTACATCCCTTAAGTGGTCCAATTTATTTTATATTTAATCAAAATTTCTTATAAGAGAATCAGGTAAACTTCACGTTATCAACGAGATTCCCATTCATTATTTGGCTAAATGAAGCTTTATATGCCTTATATTTTCCTTTAAAATCCAGTAAAACATAGTATATATATTCTCTTATCACTATTTATGAACTCAACTTCCATAATCAATTGATAACCAATAACATGATATAATACACCTCTTACACTTCTCTCTCGAGATATGAGATTTATTAATAGCCTGATTTCTCTCATCGTACACGCTTTGACTACGTAAAACATGTATATTTGTATTTATATATACACAATATGGGATGTAAAATTAAGACTCTTATTCTATGCATACATCGACTAATTGCACATAATCATTTAATTTGTTTCCGATGTTCTGATAAATCGTATTCCTTTAAAGGACCACAATTTTAGTATCTCCATATGATCAAAGGACCACTCGATCTCCTATCATCTCCTCGATTTTTATCACACCGGTGAAATTTAGCACTAATACGTGGTAATGGAATTTGGATACCGAACATGTTTGGTTAATCGATGGTTATGAAAAGTACTACTCCCACTTACTCCACTAATCTCATTACCTCTTGCTGTTAATTCTCTTAATCCTGTTTATTATATTACAGAAAATTGTAGAGAGAAGTTTGATTTAGAATTTGATAGTTTTGAGAATACGAGAGAATAAAAACGTTTTAAATAGAAAGATTCATATAATCAACCAACAAAAGTCACTTAAAAGGTAACATGCATGTGGTTGATTTCTGTTGGTGATTTCATTCCCGTGTTTGATTCTGGACAAGGTTTATATGTTAAAGTGGGTGAAAGTATGTGTTTTGGTTTGAACGCTTTCACATTAAATGTCTTACATTGACAAATTATGTGCATCAGTGCTGAAATTATGCACTCTGTAACCGAAATTCTATTTCTCATTCAGAAATGTGATTGCATAACTTATCATCATTTAATTCTACTTTTGGTTGCAAACAAGAAAATATAATTATGTGGGGATAGAATTATGTTAATGTGGGAAGACAGAGAAATATCGACGTCAAATCCTGCGACCCATATGTCCCAATAACTTCCAAAACGTTCTTAAATTCTGATATAAAAATCGGGACCATAAGCTCATCATAGAATCATTCATCTCGTATATATAAACACAAAAAGGTTCAATAAAAAAGATAGACATATAGCCAAAGAAAAATAAAAAGAGTCTCTTCCAAAAATGGCAATTAGGGTTTCCCACAAGTCTCTCCTCCTGGCACTTATTATCATCCTCTTCATTTCTGCTCATTCTCAAGGTAAATTTATAGCTAATATAATATAGACACACAAAATGCATATATTTATAAGGAGTTTATGGTGTATATTGTATCAAGCAGCCATCAAGATTTAATACACATAAACTTGAATAAATGAAGTTTTTTTTTTGTTCAATACTAAAAATATTACCAAATGAAATAGTTTTGATAAAAAAATAATTTTGGTTAATTATCAGCTCGGAGCTTAGGAGAAATCGTGAGGAGTAGAACGCTATTGGCTGTGGAGAAGTATCAAGAGAGCCGGAACACAAGACAAGATGTAGGAGGAAGTGATATTGGTGATGGATTGGTGGATATGGATTATAATAGCGCGAACAAGAAAAGACCTATACACAATCGCTAATCAATATAATACACATATGATGCATGAGCTTATAAATTTCTTGTGAGATATCTAGAGATTCTAAGACATCCCGAGATTTATATATGATCTATTCAACAGATACTACTATCAAGTATTGAGAATTAATGTAAAATATGAACATATAATATAATCGAGTTTGTATGCATGTGTACAGCTTTATTTCGAGAGAAAACGATTTTATATAATAATATATAGCTCGTGTGTGTTTTATGTATGGATTGCATCGTGAGTTTCGGTTTGTGAATAAATGTCAATGGATATATATATTTTTTTTTTTTTTTAATTGTGTACTGTGTACATAGAAACCTCTAATATGTTAATGTCGTGTTCGTAGGATCGTCTGCGGAGCTACTCATTATAATCGCATGTAGTGGAAATAAATCGATTGATTAATCATTATTTTTAATAGAACTAGTAGCGACGAAAAACAAATTGTACATCATTCTAATGGATATATGCCTTGACTGAAAACAATCAAACATATTAAAGATCGTAAAAATATTAATCCGTTCACACATGTAAACGTTTTGGAATTCACGAGATTCGCTTTGCATCCGGATTTTGACGGTTTAAGTACTTTTCCACAAAACAAATTGGGACGCGAAACGCAATAGTCACTGTGTGTATTACGTATAAAACAAGCCAACACGAGTATTTATTGGTATGAACATATATACCTTTTCTTGATAACAGATGGTCCTTACAATTTCATTTGTTACATAAATTACATGAGAGTGAATTAAGTAATTAACCAATGTTCCCCACAGTTATATCGTACGTAAGTTATGTACCCATACTTTTCTTTATCCAATAGTCCTACAAAATAAAAATGTCTAAGTGGCCCATTAAAGATATTATCGGCCCAAAAGTCTGAACTTGTCTTGTTCAAGGGGTTGGGGACTCTCTCTTAGCTCTCGATTCTCTCTCTTTCGCTCAATTTTTGAAGTTAAATCTGTTTCGTCACCGGAACTTTGAGCTACCTCTAGCTCTCTCGGAGTATTAATTCCCGGCTTTTAGCGATGGCAAGTCTCCGATTTTGCAGATCTGATTTCAACTTTTACTTCGGTTCGAATTTAGGTGTCAAATTCGTTGTCGTGATGATTGCAGGAAGAAAGAGGGCAGCTCGAAGCTTCGATAGATCGTCTTTTGAACGAAGAGAAGCAGATGAGACTCGCGGAAAATGTCGCCGGAACGAGGAAAGCCGCTACCGAGATTCTGAAGCTTTGTTTCGAAGCTAAAGACTGGAAGCTTCTGAACGAACAGGTTTTGAATCTGTCGAAGAAACGTGGTCAGCTTAAGCAGGTTACTATTTTCGATTTCTGTTCAGGGATATAGCTGAAAATCGCTGCTGGGTAGTTTCGATGGGTTTGAGTGCAAGACTTTAGTATTTAAAGTGGAAAGGTCTCTTTCTTTTGCAGGCTGTACAATCAATGGTGCAACAAGGAATGCAGTATATTGATCAGACGCCAGATATAGAAACTCGGATTGAGCTTATTAAGACCCTAAACATTGTATCTGCTGGAAAGGTGAGGATCAAAGACTATGGTGTTTTTTTTTCCTCCTAATCTTTATCATTATGTTAAAGTTTTGTCAATGAGTTTGAGCTTTTCTAGATATATGTTGAAATCGAGAGAGCTCGGTTAACCAAGAAGCTTGCGAAAATTAAGGAAGACCAGGGTCTGATTGCCGAAGCTGCAGATCTTATGCAAGAAGTTGCTGTGAGCATTTCTGCCTTTAGCTTCAAATTTTCCTCGAAATCGTTTTTTAGTTAGTCCCTGAGCTTTGATTAGGAACAATATAATATAGGTGGAGACATTCGGTGCTATGGCAAAAACTGAGAAGATTGCATTCATCCTTGAACAAGTAAGACCACCTGTTATTTATTCATAAATTCTTAGCTATGTGTTTGGTTGTCTTTTGTGTTTCTAATTTATGGTGATCTAAACTTCTGAAGGTTCGCTTGTGCTTGGATCGACAAGATTTTGTCCGTGCACAAATCTTATCTAGGAAGATCAATCCAAGAGTATTCAATGCAGATACCACGAAAGATAAAAAGAAACCTAAGGAAGGTGAAAACTTTGTAGAGGAGGCTCCAGCTGATATACCAACATTGTTGGAGCTGAAGCGAATTTACTATGAACTAATGATTCGGTAAGGCCTTGTTTGGTCTAACATATTCTTCACCAGTCATTTATGACATAATATGCAATTCTGTGGTGGTGTGATCTTAATTATGAAACGCATATATAATTATATTGTGTAGGTATTATTCTCACAACAATGAGTACCTTGAGATATGCCGTAGCTACAAGGCGATATATGATATCCCTTCAGTAAAGGAAAACCCAGAACAATGGATTCCAGTAAGTCTCACATCTTTGTTTGGATACTCGCTAGTCTACATTCTATAGTAAGCTTGGTTTAAGTTTTTCAACTGATCCTCTCAACATAGGTTCTGAGGAAGATCTGCTGGTTCTTGGTCTTGGCACCACATGATCCGATGCAATCGAGCCTGCTTAATGCAACCTTTGAAGATAAGAATTTATCCGAAATTCCTAATTTCAAGTAATTCTCTTTGACTTTATATAAGTTTTTGTTTCCTCTCCTTTCCGTTTTAGATAGTTCTCAATCCTTGTGTTTATATTCGGCTGCAGGATGCTCCTAAAACAAATTGTGACAATGGAGGTGATTCAGTGGACAACTCTCTGGAATAAATACAGGGGCGAGTTTGAGAAAGAGGAAAGCATGATTGGAGGCTCCTTGGGTGACAAAGCTGGTGAAGATCTCAAACTAAGAATAATCGAACACGTAAAGACTCTTTGAGCTCTAGTTTATCTTATCTCTTTGCTTGCGTCGTTCTGAAATTTTCACTAATTCTTCACATCTTCTGCAGAATATTATCGTCGTCTCGAAGTATTACTCAAGGATTACATTAAAGAGACTTGCAGAACTTTTATGCCTGACCATTGAGGTAAATGAGTTTAAAGTTTAAATAACAATCTAAATGTAACCAGTCATATGTATAAACGCAGCGTATTGGTTCCTTCTATTTCAGGAAGCAGAGAAGCATCTATCGGAGATGGTCGTGTCAAAAGCCTTGATTGCAAAAATCGATAGGCCATCAGGAATAATCTGCTTCCAGATCGTTAAAGACAGCAACGAAATTCTCAACTCATGGGCAACAAACTTGGAGAAGCTTTTAGATCTTGTTGAGAAGAGTTGTCATCAAATTCACAAAGAAACCATGGTTCATAAAGTTGCACAAAGAGCTTGAGAAACCGGTTTAGCCACACACACACACACACCGCAGTGGAAAGAATCTCTCAGGTTGTTGTCATTGTCCTAAAATTCTTCATTTCTAGTTTTTTTCTTTATTTGGTTCACATACATTAGAAAATTTCTTTTGTGTGTGATCTTTCGGAAACCTTTAAGATTATACAAAAACTCTCCCTTTTTTTCTTTTTAGTTTTCTTGTCTTCCTCTTGTCTCTGAATTTTGTTCTATATTTCAACGAAATATTATGAAAAAGTATGATACATACTGAAATCAAAACATGCAAGGAAGTAAGAAAGCAAATACAAAACCTAAAACCTCTAATAATAAGAATCATATTTTTCTTTTCTTTTCTATAACTATATATATATATATATAGAGTAAAAGAAAAAAGAAATGAAGCAATGCCATCAGGAGGATGGACTATTATCGTAGTGATTATTATCACTGGTCTTGTCTGGTGACCATCGTAGATTGTGGAGGTGACCGGTTTCGCTAGCTGATTCCGGCGGCGGCTGAACCTCTGCGGGAGAAAACATTGGAAGAGAATGAGACGAAGATGAAGACGTGGATTGCATTGTCGAACCTCCGGTGTGACCAAAACGCAACGGAAACGACATTTGATCATACAGATCCATAGATTGTTGTTGATGATAATGTTGCTGAAACTGTTGTTGTTGGCGAGCCATCTCAGAGTAACTCATGTTGTAGGATTGCATCAACGGCTGAGAATGAACGATTTGCTCCGTGGCAGGTCTTATGGGCAAAAGGGTACTTGTAGAAGAACCCGAGTTGTTCCTTAACTGGGTCGGTCTCTGAACAGCGGTTTGAGGCACAGATTGTGTCGCATCGGTTGAAGCAAGTGGTCTAACGAGTTTAACGTTTTCAGGGAAGTTGAGTTTGGCTTTGTTGCCTCTAAACCGAAGTGCAGCCTCGTCGTAAGCTCTTGCAGCTGATTCAGCATTGTCGAACGTACCGAGCCAAACTCTAGCCGCTTTGAACGGATCTCGAATCTCAGCCGCCCATTTTCCCCACGGTCGTTGTCTCACTCCTCTGTATCTTCTTCGAGGTTGGTCCCCACTAAACGTCGACGTTTCGGTATTAGCATTTGTTGTGGTTGTGTACTCGTATGTTGGGCCTGAACCTGACATGTTGCTCGAAGCTTCCCTCACTGCAAACAAACAAAAAACATACTATATTATTAATTCACACTTGTGTTTTTGAAAATTAAACGTCTCGATTAAAGATACTATAGAAAGATTTTTTTTTTTTTCTTTTGAAAGAATGTTGAGTGATTATGAGAAAGTGATGCGGCCAAATGAGTGACAAAGAGCAATGAACAAGTAGAATAGAAAACAAAAAAAAAAAAGCAAGTGGAAAACGACTGTTGAGGCAATTGGAGGGAGATAGATTCTTTTGGCATATCATCATCGCCATCATTTTGTTAATTAAATATCCAAACCTTTTTATAACGATTCTAAATTATGTCTAAGGATAATCAAGTACACTTTCGTTAGTAGTATTATATTTTCCTTTGTCAACACTTTTGTTAATTATATGCATCCTTACATATTTGTTCTTGTTATTATTGAAACTTTAAGTTGTTGTAAATTTTAAGATCTATATAACTTTTACGTTGTTGTTGAAAGAAAAACCAAATCATTTTTTTTCTAAAAAGGGACATATATGCATTAGTTTTCCAAGACGAGAAATTTCGAACTGAGATCTCCAATAGTCTTGTGAAAAAAGGACTCATGCCTGATATGAAAGAACTCATGGAATTTGTAGAGAAACAAAAAAAACTCATAACTATTCTTTATTTATTTTTATTTTTTTCAAAAAGGATAATTATTCTTTATGTTATTACTGTAGATACCGCGAGGACAACAAAAGACAGCTATTTAGATTTTGTGTTAGAAATATATGATGTGACACATACCTCTGATGTATACTACATCATATATATTATTTAAAACAATTATCAAATATGATATTTCAAAATTAAGTCTGTTTCGACGTATTAAATCTACAGAAAATTAAGAAATTTATATATATTTATATGTTTTGAGAATCCACCATTTTTAAATATACGCATCTTAAATAAAATAGACACAAAAAATAACTATCCAAATTTTTAGCTTAGTGTTTTGTACTAACGTAGCAGCGTGTGATATAGACCCCAAAAAAAAAAAACAAAAATTACCTTTGGAAGTAGAAGTGCCGCCGGAGAAATATTGATCAACGGTCAAAGTATTAGCTGCCTTGAGTGCTTGGCCGCCGCCACCTTTTTCCACCTCTCTCTTCCTTTTCTGACCAGAGGAAGAAGACGAATTCGAAGTCCCTTCTCCACCGCCACCGCTACCTTCACCGCCACCGTATTGAGGAGGAGGAGGAGGAACATTTCCGGCGACGACATGTGTCAAAGCAGAGACAATTGCAGACATCTCCATCTCTCTACTAAAACTCGACATAAGAGACGACGACGACGACGACGGAGGCGTGAGGGCGTTATCACGGTGGAGTTGTTGGTCGTCTTCCGCCGCGAATAAGTAAAGCCATTGATCGAGTTCCGATAACGTCCGATGATCATCTTCTTGAGTGGTAGACTCGGCTTTCTTGCCGACGTTATCTTCCTGATTGGCCACTTTTAAGACACACATAAAAATCCCTCTTTCTATTTCTCCTCTGAAGCTTAAAACTTATAAACCCCAGCAACTAAAAAAAATATATATTGTTTTTCTTAGAGGGAAAGAAAACTCTGTAGAGAGAGAGACATAAACAGAGAGGTGAAGAGAGAGAAAGAAAGACAGAGTTTTTTTCAAAGATGTTTTTTTTTAGGACAAGGAACGAGGTTTAAAAGCAGATAGAGATACAAATATCTTTTATTATGTAATTTTTTTTTTTTTTTGGTTCAGCGCCGCCAAATCAAAGAGTCGGCTTCTCTCTGCTTCGAGGCCGTGTGAATGCAAAAGAAAACCACGCCCTTTTTAAAAACTTTTAATATTACGTCTAATAAAATATTATATACAAACCTGAACTATATATTTAATAACAGAAGAAATTCTGGTTGAAGATTTAGGTCAATATAAACAAACTTGTGTACATTGGCCACTGTATTACTAGTACATATGAAACGGATCTGAAACTTTTGCAACTTGTGGGTAATTTATTTCATCGACATGTTGTAAGTAAACTATTAACCGTTATAATCAAAACTTTAACGAGCCTAGCTAATAAATTAAGTGAATAAGGTAATTGATTAATTAACAGATCTATTTGGTAGGGTTTAATTAGCTCTAAGAGGATTAGAGTTAGACAAGTTGCAAAAGTAGAACCAAAAGCTATAAACACTGTTAAAATATTGAGACATTCAGACACGAGTATTAATTACTATATTTATGGTTCGGTGATTAATAATGATCTAATTGCTGAAAAATAGGTAAACAGTTAAATGGAATATTATTAAAATAAAGAGATGTGCCTAAACGGTGAGCTAGAAGGCCAAGTTGAGAGAGAGAAGCCGTGCCGTGAGAAAGCGCGTGTCTCGCACGAGTCGGTGTTGGTTCGTGCCGACGTCAAATGCTCCGTTTGGACGGTGTCGGCGGTGAAAGGCTAACGCACGTGACTTTTTGGGCCTTACCCTACGGCCCACTTTCTTCAACCTTACTCTCCCTTCTTTCTTGTGTTTTAATTATCTTTGACCGTTTGACCCAGGAAATATTATTCGTTTTCGATTTTTCTTGCTACACCTCAATAAATTCTCTTTTAAAAACAACTATTTGACAGCATTATATGATTTTTTATTCTGTCATTTTATATGGATATATCATATATACATATGTGTCAAGTGTTTTTCCAAAAGAGATGTTTAAAATTTTATACGAGTACATATATTTCTAGCTAGGACAAAATATACAAGAATACTCCCTCTACTTCTTATAAGGTTCTTAAGCCAAAATGCATGAATTAAAAAGTTATAGACAATACTCTAATGTTGTAATGTTAAATATTAAGTATCATTTCTAAATTTTGATTGAGTTCGAACTTCCGTGTAAAAAGTTTAAAAGCTAGAGTGATAGAGTACTAGACCAAAAAAAAAAAACAGTTGTATCTTAGAAATTGTTTTAAAGGATTTTCAATTGGGTTATGTTTTTTTTTTCCTTTTGTTAATATTTGTTTTCTCTATTATTCGTCTCTTCAGCTGGTCCGAATAATAGAGCCTGTAAAAACTTTTTATTTTGGAAAAATATTCTAATTATGTCCACATTGCTTCCAAAAGTAATTTCATAGATCAATTTATACACAAAAAGAACAAAATCGCATACAAATAATGGGAAATGATAATGTATTTTCATGTTTTTAGGAGAGAAAATAAAAAAATTGTTATGATAAAAAATCGGAATAATAGTGTTCTTTTACATTCGGAAGAATAGTTACTATGTTCCTTTTTGTTTTGTCTGCATTGTAGTTATGTTTAATTTGAGTTATTAATAAAGAAAACTGTTGCCAGTTGTATATAAATACCCTTAGCAATCGGCAATTTGGCATCGCAACTTGATAATTGTCTATCTAAAGGATTAAGGATGTGCGACGAAACATGTGCTTATTCGTACGGATAATTATGATTTAATATATATAATACACATTTAATCACCCGCTTAGTCGCTGACAGCGCGTGATGACGCAATCATATTTAAGAAATGGGAAACAGCATCCAAAACCTCTACTTCCATTGTTATGTTTAAAAAAAGAATACATCTAATAAAATATGATTTGAGAAGATGCTGTCGACATGAAAACTCGGATTCTACTCTATTTATTTTTTTTTTTTTTGCTAAATTACTATATTAATTTTAAATGCTAGCTACATATGTAACGCTTAGGTCGTTTCTGTGAGTCTGTGACATCTTAGAAATTATATATGTAATATGTATATATAAAAAACATTATATTGAAAAAAAAAAACATTATATTGATAAATTGTATCCAGCACGGTGTTTTTATATTTGTTGATACATGAATGAAAAAGAATTCCAATTTGGGTTCTCATTGAACAGGTAAACATTCTTTAACGATTATTTAACAAATTTAAACTCAATCAATTAATTTACATAAAAAACACCTGCAAATGCATGCGTAGGTTTAGACTTATCATCAGGCCCTTCATAGAACTACTGATAACCAAAGTCTACTATGAGTTTTATAGGTATATAACCGGCTCCAACTTTTGGTTGTCATAGACATTTGTATGGTTTCACAAAACCTTTACCATACAAAATATTTTAGCAAAAGATCAATCCATGCATTAAAGATGCTTCATACTTATTTTGCACACAAAAAAATACCTAGAAAATGTTTTGGTCGACAGATTAATTTGATAAGGACTAAGGAGTAAGGACAAATACAATCTTCTCCTATTTGTATTTCGCCATCGACTTAAAGAAGAGAAAACTAAGATCGTGTCTAACACGTGGCAGAAAATAGCTGACTTTGGCAAAAGAAAAAAAGGTCATATACAACTCCAACACCGACAAGTCAACCACTATTTTATTTGATTTTCAAACAAAATCCAAAAAGAGTCAACATTCAAACTAGTATCACATCATAATTTATATAACTAATACTACCTGAGTAACACATTCCCTAAAATCCTTATGCTTCCGTATCACTTACGTACAAGTACAACCACGTTTTTATTTCAGCAGCCAAAGTAACAGTAGACACAATATAGATATATAGATACAAACATATTATTTGCACGAGATTTTTTTGTCGAAAAACGACAAAACAGATCACGTTTTTTTTTTTCTTTCTAATATTGCTGTAAAAAGCATCCTCCTTTTGATATGTAACTAACTAATTCTCAGTGCTCCAGCTTGCAGATATGAAAAGCACCATGTCACTTGTCAATCAGACCGAAAACAAAAACCACACAAACACAAAAGCGATATATAAATACGGGCCGCACTAGGCCTCTATAATACTACTTTTTGGGCCATTCGGTTAAGTCCGTAACTCTTAAGCATAGTAATTACTAGTTAGTATTTTGTATTTTATCCGGCACGACCTGAATGTCCGAGCGAGTTCGACCGTCTATCAAATCTGTGGCCAGGCTAACTTTTAATATGATAAAATCAAAGGCTTATCCCAAATCTTTTAGCTATACATTTTCATTTTCATTTTCTTCTAATGTTTTCCCCTTAAATTTAAAATCTGAATGCCATTCAGTGTAGCTCTTCATCCGATTTCAATTTCATTTTGATATCTATAACCTATATACGAATTATTATGGATATATGCACGGTTAAATATTAAATACTATGGAGTCAACCCCTAACTCAGTTACTCAAGAACAGCTTAAAGATTTCAAGAGATAACAGAGAAAATCACCTTTTAAAAAAAATGAAAATAAGTCAAGTTCTTATCGTAAAAGATTACAAATTGAAACGCCTCTTCTGTAATATTCAAAAGAGATTAGAAAATATTCAATTAAAGAATAATTTGACAAATCTTTTCTCTCACCACCAAAGAACAAAACAAATAGACAACAACCTTCTTCTTCTTCATCTATATCTACAACACATTCTTGCAAAAATAAAAATCTCGTAACAAAATTAAATCGTATTTTTCTTCTTTTCTTTTTCATCATCTAATGAACACAATGAAGGAGTCTTAAAGAGGTAAATAATCATCTCTCTATTACCTCTCTCTTGATCCGTGGGAATCAAACCATTTTTCAGCAACCGATCCATCGATCAGTCAAATTCACAGGCAGTCTAAACCGCAGATCTCGAGAATAGGACCACCTTTGGCCACAAATGGATTAACACGAACCCAAAGAAGTGTAAGAATCGAGGCGAGGAGGATCGACCAGACGACAATAATGGTCGGCATCCTATCTTGTTTCCCAAGCAAACCTTTAAGGAAAGGGTAAAGATGGATGATGACCCAAAGCGCGAAGAAGAGTCTTCCGAAAAGCGGTCCCCAAGAGTCATATCCATTGCTTATAGCATCAGAGATTCCGACTATGACTCCGATGACGTTTATGATGAGAAGAGTGGTCGGAGGGATGAGAAGTGAAGTCCATTTGAAGAGGTAAAGGTCTGAGAATTCGCCGTCATCAGCTGCTTTTGACGTGACCGTGAAGTTTGTGTCCACACCAGCAAGAACCTTGAGAAGACCTTGGAACAGAGCAAACAGATGCGCAGAAACGCCTCCGATGACCCAAAACTGTTCATTTCTCCACCAATCATCGATCCCAACTTTTCCCCATTGCATCTCCAGAATACCCGTTACCGCAATCGACGAGAAGAGCGCCATGAAGAGGATACTCGCATAGTTGCTTATCTGCAAAAACAAGGAACAAGAACCGTTTTTTTCACGTTTTAAACATTGGAATACAGTTTTATGCTTTAAGAGCTCAAGATGATCTTTTTACCCCCAAGAAAGATGAATTTACACAAAACAGGGAATAAAGATGCAGACTTTTGAGAATTCAAGATGATTGTATTACCTCGGGAACGATGAATTTTCCAGTGAGAAGACAAATGGCGGGGAGTGAACAGTAGACAATGAGCGGGAGAGAGGTCCAAGGGTAAACCACGGAGTTAATGTAGGACAACTCTCAAGCCATTTCAAACCACCTCCATAACCATACCAGATAGGACAATGCCTACTCAAGAAAATCTCAACAGAACCAAGCGCCCACCGAAGACAAGATCTCTAGCCTGTA